TATATATATATATATATATATATATATATTCACATTTGTTTCCAATTGATATGATACGAAAGACCCAAAAAAAATATTTCAAAAGGTTTATATTTTTGCTGTCAAAATTACTGGTTTGCGAAAATATAGCAATTGCGTTGTTTTTTTTTTGTTTACGTTTATACATTCACAAAAGTCGAACGGCTTCCAAAGTAATATATTATCGAATACATTTTATATTTTTTATATTTTCTGTAGATCAGTCTTAGATTACTCGTGATATATTTTTCTTATTTTTTAGATATGTTACTAACATTATTACATATTTTAGAGACGACCAAGTATATAATTTTTATTGGATAAACTTTATTAAACATTGATTTAGAATATCAATTAAAATTTGAGATAATTTTTTTTTATAAAAGAGAAACTAATCATAGTTTTGTAGAGATTGAAGGTGTGTAGTAGATATTTATTAAATGGATTGGTAATTTAATTACATGAGAAAAAAAAAACTACATATTTCGTTCGCTTTAAGAAATACACTTTGGTTGGATTTTCTTTGCTTTTTTCCAAAGAGAGCAAAGATTTCTATAAAGCTTTCCTCTAATTTCAAAAAAAAAATATTAAAAAGGGAAAAAGAAACCATAATTATGTGGTCATGTTATAAGTGGATAAAAGATATGATAAGACTACAAAATATTTAGTTTCTGCAGTTATATAAAAATGAAGGGAGACTTTTTAAAATATTTTTATTCAATAAATAATTGATTCTGAAATTCGAAAAACAATAAGACGCGAAATATTGATCCAATTATATGTGTATGCACACTGTTAATAGTTGATTTGTTGTTTCACAACACACACGTATATATATACGACCAATACAAAATTATAATTTTTTAAAAAGAAACTTATTAAAAATGTTAATATTTTGTAAAATTTACTGAGATTTCTTTTTTATATATATATATATATATAGGGCGAGACTGGAATGATAATCTGAATCTTTTTTGACCAACGAAAAAGGAAAAACAAAAAGGGGTGTAATGTAAATGATTCTCATCAATGTAGTGGCAGTGCTGTCGTGGGCATGACGTCACATATTTGTGGCCATGTAATAAAAATATGTTTCACAATTAAGTGAGAAATCATGTACGTAACGATGCCCCTCTATGCATATATTATATAATAACGATAATTTTATTGCAGGATTAAATTTAATCAATGAATGAATCAAAAGGGTAAAATTATAAACGTGGCATTTGCTGTCGGCAACGAGTTTAATGCCCCGATCCAATTAATTAACTCGCACTAACACTCAGAACGATCTTATTTGTTTTATATATTAATTTATTTATATTTTTGGTAAAATTGAAAAGCAGTCCAAAGGGCGACTTTCAGAATAAAATACAAGAGAGAGAGAGAGAGATCATCTTTTGTACTATATAGTAACAAATATATTTGCAATTTATTTGTATGTGTATATATATATAGTCCACACTCATTCGGACCAGTTTTTTTTTTCAACGAGAGACACAAAAAAGACGTTCAAACAGTCAATTAAAGCTGTGCAATAAAAAAATTAATATATTTATAAAACAATCGATTAAAGGCGCAATTTGGACCTTCCTATAATCAGGGCCTAAAATCAGTTCATCATATTTCCCAATTATGTACTCGTAGAAAAAGCTACGACACACACACACACACCTATACACACATATATATATATAACGCGTATATACATAGATGTATATACCACAACCCTACACGCACAAGTATGCAAGTTTACACAAGTGATTAGTGTATACAATAAGAAATATGTTAGTTAATAAACGCAAAATATTAATATATTACGTGAAATAACTTACCACTTCGATGGGAGCTTTTTTTTTTTTTTTTTTTTTGCTGAAATGTAATTCCTGTTAGATCCTAAATCAAAATACTGCTTAGTGATGGAGAATTCTCGAGAAGAATCAACCGTATGTAGAATCCATTTGATGATACGATAAAAAAATGATACATATATATATCTTATATATATATATATATAGAGAGAGAGAGAGAATCTTACGTACCTTTCTCTCTCTACAGCGACGACCGATGTGCAAAGAAAATGTAATGTGAAACCCAATGGAATGGAAACAAGGGAGGCGAGGGGAATGAAGCCTGGTCCGAGACCCCATCCGTCCATTCTCATCCCCTTTGATTTCTTCGTCTCGAACCACACGTCATTCTCCTCGACTCTTTGTCTCATGCATGCAGAGAGAGAGAGAGAGAGAGAGAGAGAGAGAGAAGAAGAAGAAGAAGAAGAAGTATTTGTGCACGCGTGTGTATGTAATATATAGATATATATGTGCGGCCATGCTTTGCTTTTTTCATGGACCCTCATGTTACGTGAAGATTAGTTTACTGCAAGATTCTCAAAAATCACCTATTTGTGGTGGAGGATGACCATAAATGATGATGATGATGATGATAGGGAATTGGTTACTATTAAACCAAATGAGACAAAACAAAAAATTGCATTCAATAAGTAACAATATAACAACAAATACCAGACAAAAAGAAGAAGACTAGATCCAACAATTTTTTTTTAAGAAAATATTTATATTTCAAAATTTATCTAACTATAATTATTGTGGTTATATAAACGTCACCCAAAATCTAATAATTTGATGTAAAGTTGAATTTCCAACGTCCATAGTATTTAGTTAAAATCTTTCTCTACCCTGCGTGCCTCATTTTCCCTTTCTTTTTTTTTTAAACTTCTTTTCCACTGCATTTTATTTCTTGTGAAAAGACAACTACACAATGCAAGTCTCTGTCTCATTTAGAGGGTAAAGAATCCGACGGAGCACTTCATTCCAAGGAAAGTTTGGCCAGAGTGAGGGAAAGAGCCTTCACACCATTTGCCATATCTTCAGGAGCTGCATACTCTTCAGGTTTATGGCTATACCCTTCACCCCCCAAAAGAAATGTATCATATTATTGACGGATTCATTCACAATGGCTACAATATTACGTATATCTTTTTTTTTTTAATTGATTTCAAGTGTGTATATATACCTTTGTAGCAAGGGATGAATATCATACCCATTGGAGATATCCTGTATAATATACCCAGAAATCATCACCCTTTCTTGTTCATGATATGTATATGCATAATGTAGATCACAAATTCGTCGTTAGGATTTGCATATAAAGGGGGGGGGGGGTTACCTGGCCATGAACAGAGAATCATGATAAGCTCGGCTGATCATTGTCTTGTGCGTCAGGTTGAGCTCTGTTGTTGCCTCCGCCATTTTCTGGATCACCAGCTTGTCTGAGAGAGCTGGTGGATCTTGATTTACAATCTTGAATTCCGATAACTTTACTTTTCGGCTTTTAGCTATTCTGTTTGCAGAGTCCCGGATTTTCTCAACCACGTCGTTCCTCCTTGCTTCATCAATGTCCCGGGTGTCTGAAAGAACGCAAGAACTTACTCCACAGATCAAAATCAATAACTAGAGTACCCAGTTCTTGAACTCAGAGAAATCAAGGCTTGGTTACCGATTTCAAGATGAGATTTGCTCGGAATGCTGTTGATTGCCCCGGGATGCAGTTCCAGAATACCTAAAGTGCAACGGGATCGTTTAAAGAACGATAGACAATCTGCTGAAAATCCTGAAACAAGTTGTCCAGAGTATGTTCTTGTTGTAGCAGGGGAAAAAAACTTACCGACAGTCCCTACAGTATCTATTGATCCCGATTCTAATACGTGTTTCTCTACAGCAAGAGCTAACTCTGCAGCTGCAAGTCCCGCATCGTTCCTGAAGAGCATTGCACGTCGGTCAATCGACATATATTAATGCATTATGCGCAGAGATGCATGCATAGTCATTACTTCTGATTCTAGTGTAATACTGCAATGCATATTTCAGTATTTGAAGAGTAGAAGAGCTTATATACACTCATACATAAACACATGACTGTTTATCTGTACGTTGTAAATGCATAGACATGCACATGCATGGTCACAAAAACATGATGCACCAACAGATACCGGCATGCCAAGCCAATACCATAGAACTGATATTTGCAAGTAGAGTGTTAAGTATGCTTTACCTATATGGCATAAGGACAGCACCAGCATGCCCTCCATTGCCTTCAAAATCCACTTTCAAACTTGCTGGAGCAGCAATGGCTGTTACTATACCGATCTGTAAACCTGAGTGAAATTACAACTATTTGCTCAACTGGAAACCGAGACAGGAAAGCAGAAGGCATGCACATGAAAAAGAGAACAACCTTCCTCTTCCAATGTAGGTCCTTGTTCAATATGCAACTCGATAAAAGCAAAGTAGCTTCCTTTCTTCAGGAACACGCTTGACAAGTCATCTCCATCTTTTGCATATCCCGCTGATCTAGCTGCTTCTAGGAAGGACACATTTTGGCCATCCACAACTGTGGTCTTTAAGGCTTCTGCCAGTTCTTGGCTTCCAGCGAGTAAACGGCTGTACATCGGGCAGAATGTATTAGGATTTAGGAAGATCTCGAGTTGGGTAAAATCAGAAACAAACAAATAATAATACAAGCATCGGTTCACGAAACAGAAAAAGAAAACGATATTTTTGTGTGTGAAGATTATGTGTGACCTTCCTAAACAGCTGATGCCGTATCGTGTAGGTTCTTCCGACGTGAACAAGATAATCTCCAGAGACCTCTTGGGTTTGAACCCCGACCTGAGCAACAATATTAGAACATCAAGAGATGATGGAATGCAGAACAAGAAGCTTCAACCTTGAGAGACATTAATTATGCAGGCTGTTCTGCTTTGTCTTATCATTAAGATTTCGATTTTTCAGGTTATTCATACCTTTTCAACACATTGATGGCTTCTACTGCGCCTAAAACACCAACAACTCCGTCATATTTCCCCGAATATGGAATAGCATCAATGTGAGATCCAGTGGCAACTGCAGGAAGATTTGGCTCAGATCCAACCCTAAGCAGAAGATGAAAAAAATATCAGAAGAACAGACATCAAGATATGAACAAAACAACAAACTAGAATTAGTACATAGGTTTAAAGTTCCAAATCGCGTAGGTAAACTTAGGGAATGTAACTCATGGAATTAGTTGTGCAGAGGAAGAATCAGACAAGGAGCATGAGAGGAGACAGAACCAACCATCTGCCAAATATGTTACCAACAGCATCCTCTCTAACAGATAGGCCAGCAAGTCCCATCAAGTTCTTTACGTACCTGTCAATTCATTGTCATTGGCAATCAAATTATAGTTCATATGTAGATAGTGAGATGAGAAAATCATGTTGGAGAAGAGTGTCAATAGCTCAACATTGAGAATCAGGACATTGATCTTACATAGGCTATGTAACATAGCAAACGTTCTCAGTTCGCCAATAGAGCAACTGAAAAAGAACTCTCACTATTGCTAAACAATAGGTTCTGAGAACATAAAAGCTTTGCAAGGAGTGTGTAACATTGCTGTTTTTATACTTAAACGAGCACCGAATGCAGAGGAAAGACGAACAATATAGATGCTCGTCTAACTAATTTGCATAAAAAAGTCGAAAATTTATCTTAGTGATGAGCAATTACCGGCGTGCCAAGACATCTCTGTCAGTGTATAGAACCCTGGTCACTGAAGGGGCTGGAGAATCGGAGAACCCGGAAAGCTCATCTATCTAAAGAGACAAAAGCACAATCATGGAATAAAACTCAGATAGATAACTCAAAAAACCACAATGTCTGAATCTATTTTGGATTTAGCTGAGATTACAACTCACTGTTCACTTAAACCCTCCACCCATACACTGCAACAAAGCCCCAAATTTTATAACAAAAGATCGTTTCAAGAAAATCAATCTAATCTCCCAAAAACCGCTAAAGCCAGTACAGTTCAGCAAACACTTGCTTTCCCACCAACTAATCGCTTATGGCTGAACTCGTAGACTAACAGAGACTTGAATTTGGATTTTGGCTGTCCGAAAATTCGATATCTTTACCGAAACTAGTTCACTACGAACCAAAATTCTTATCCATAAATCTAATCAAGTTCCTTTGAGATCCAGAGAAACCATTTAGGGTTTCCTCAAAAGCTATTTGTGGAATCCACCTGAAGAAGAAAACCAAACAAATACACAAACCAAACATTAGCTACACGCAGTAGAGCCTGAAGATGATCGATTACAAAAACCTGGTCTTTCAGCCTTTGAGAATCAACAGACAGTGAAGAGGCAAGGTCGGCGAAATGGAATTGATCCGGTTCGTGAATTGGGTACCCAGAGAAATCCTCCATAGTTCTGATCGTTGGGTCTTCTTCATGTTGCTGTTGAGCTAAGCTTGAAGGCGGGGAACAAAGAGACAAGAGAAGAAGAAGGGCACGAGACCAGAAGTCGGGAGATTTCAAAAGCGCCATTTTTCTTCAGTGTGAGGTTCTGTGTGTTCATAACGGGAATGTTGGTCTTTCCATATCTTTTGCCTTTACGTTTTACCCCCTTTTTTAGTTAGTTTTTTTTTTCGAGAAATGCCATCAACTTTCATCAAATTATGTAATGTTACAAAAACTAATTAAATAATTCTTTTGGTCCACTGATAATTTTAATCAGAACAAAATTATATAATTTAGTTAGTATTATCACCCGTTTTTTTAATAAAATTCACAGTTCCTAACTAAATTATTTTAACTTTTCATTTCTGGAATACATACAAGATCATGATACATCCACATACATAGACATCCATACATACAAGTTTTATATAATTTATCTTTTTATATGGTTTTTTCTTTTTTTCATGAATTTTAATTATATACTATACTATTTGATTTTTTTTTTCCAAAGTCCATTTATCTTTTCAATTGTAATTTAATTTTCAATTACCTTTGTCTACAATATTGATGCAAAAGCTAGGAAAAAGAAAAGATTCATTCGAAAGAAGAGCCAAAGACACTCTCTTTACACATGTTTTTTCATGTTGTTGTTTTTTTAAAGATTACAATCCCACTCATTAAACCAAGACCCTTATGAGTGTCATCTCCTCAAATGTAACACCTATTGTTGAATGCAGTAACTCATTCCGGCTTCATACCCTTCTCAGTGCCCTTTTGAAGGCCTGAATTCTGCATAGCCGCCATTGATGTTTGCCGATAAATTCGGGTTTGAATTCGAAGCCTCTGATCCAAAGGGCGGGTAAGCAGCTTCATCGGGATTCCTCATCGCACGTAAAGACAGGTCCATGTTCGCCATTCGCCACTGCGTCGGTATCAACCCATCCATTTGCCCATTTCCATAGGGTGAAGCAGAGGCAGAGGAATGGGGCATGTATGAGTCGAAATGGCCATATCCATGGTGGAACCCTTCATCACTGTAACTCCTCGAGGACCTGCAAGACAACAACTCACCTGAGAGACCGAGCTCTGTCCCTGTCCCGTGATGATGATGATGATATGTGTAATGGCTGCTGCTGCTGCTGTTGAACAGTTGGGGTACAACATGGAACCCACTTCCCGCCATCATCATGTTGCTTCCATGTTCATCTTCGAGCAGGTCGTTGATGATGTCCAGGTGAGGGAACTCATCAGTTACCAGGCTCTGTGTCTGTTCCAGAGACCTGCTTCCTATGGGTGTGTAGGGGTTAGCTGCTTTAAGGGCGTCCCGGTTCATGCTGCTGATGGTTCTATCCCTCTGAGAACTCGAACTCGAACTCCCTCCTGTCCACATGAGCCCACCTGATGAGCCATCCCGAGAACCGAGACTGAAAGGAAAGCCTGACTGATAGGATCCAGAACTTGGAGGCGGTTGCGAGTACGGTGGCAATGAGTTTACTCCCGCAGCTGGAGAGCTCGAGCGGTTAAAACTAGACGAACCGGCGGGGGTGTTACCCACTATAGCACTTTTGTAGGATTGAGGAATGAAGGGTTGGCTGCTCGGAGACGGGTCAGGACCCAACCGGCCGGCTGAACTAGCTGACCTTGCAAGCGAACTGGTGGTTTGAACCATCGAGACTATAGGGCTTGCCTGCAGCTTGGGAGGGATTATAGGAGCACTGGAAGGCCTTGATATGGAAGGTGTCACTTGGGCCATGGATTTTTCAGCAGGTTTCGGAGCTAAAGCCTCCTTCTGCACCTCAGACCTCGGGCCCACTGTCACTGTGCGTGACTGAATATTCAGGGTTACCGATGCTTGATCTGATGAAGACGGTGGTCCATTCGATGCTATTTTCCGGGCTGGAACCGTGTCGATGCTCGTAACACCTTTTTCCTCTGGTTTCGGCTGCAGAACCGAGGTAGGATTCCTAGGACCACTTCTCGGAGAAGCAGCGCTCTTCTCTTTAGGCCGGTCCATATCAAAAGTGTTCACCGCGTTTTGTTTCATCTGCACATTGTGTACCTGCAGAAGGATAAAAGCTGTATTATCAGTTTGATGTTATATGAGATAAACATAATGAAATTGTTTTGAGAAGCCCAGTAATTCCACAAACTCTTGCTTATTGATACTTCTCTTCTAATTTATAGACATAAATAGCAACTAGCAAATGAGTAAACCCACATTCTTAACAGGACTACGCTCCCCAGACCTCTCGGCTTCCCGAATGGAGGAGACAACTGCATCGGCTTCTGATACACTGACCTTGCATCGCTCGGAAGAAGCCCGGTTCTGAGTCTTTCCTCTGGGAAATAGTGAGGGTAGGTAACATTTTGAGTTATAAAATATCGCAAAAACAGACAAAAGAAACCAAAAAAAACACTTACTTGCTCGGGGACTTGTTATGGTTGTAGTGATGATTTAACATATTCCCTTTGTGGAATCCATTGGTTACCCCTGAAAGAGTTGAGTCATTAGAACACGTGGATGAACTATCATCCATCACAGACTGATTCTTTCTCTCCGAAACTCCATTAGAAATAGATATGGAACTGTCTCTTCCTCTGCTGCTACTGCCTCCTGTGGGAGTAGGAACAATCTCGGATGTGTCAGTATCCCAATGAACAGGGCTACTGTCTCTATCTTCTGAATCAGGCTGAAGGATTTCACCCGAACCATCCACCGAATCAGATATGTCGGAAACATCTCCGAAAGTTTCGGGTTTTTCCACGGTGGATTGAGCATTCCCTGTCAAAGAGTCCTTTTTCTCGTCACCTTGGTTTTCCTCACTATCCTTGTCATCTGTTGGGGAACTCACCTTTTCTTCCTTTTTCTTCTCCTTTCCTTTGTTTTTGTTCCTTTTCTGTTTTGCCTACGAGTTTCCAGGCAACCAAACAATCAGTATTCCGGCACAAAAATCAAGAATAGGAAAAATATTTAGATTGAAAACTGCAGTAAGCAATAATCAAACCTGCTTCTTCTTAGATTTCTTCTCTTTCTCGGCTCCTCTTTTGGCCCTCTGTTCACTTTCTGCCAACCACGCTTCCTCTTCTTCACGGATAAGCTCTTCCTGTCTTTTCAACGCTACAGCTTCTTGGTATGCAACCTCGATTTTGTTACTGCACTTCTCAGAAAGTTTCCATTAAAATACATGGAAAAAAAAAGACATACAATACCAAAAACAAGAAAAAGAGAGTAGATAGGTACAGTTTTTCATGTGAACAATGGCATTAACCTCACAACATTGAACATGACCGACCTTTTAGACAGATTTGTTCATTTAAGCACATAAGTTTTACGAAATTTTCAAACCTGAGAGGGAGAGTGAGGGAGATTCCACCATGTTACCTGAATATATGGGCAAGAACAAATATTTCCACAGTCCGTCTACCCAGTTCAGTTAAACGTCTCTCATCACGCTCAATGGCTTCCTTGTTGAACTCCTCTCCAGCATTGCCCTCCTAGATAATGTCGAATAATAAGCAGTGTCATCAATTCCAGCATAATTTGCAATCAGGTATTGCCAAAGATGTTCATGTATTAAGCAATTTTCAAGAATAAGAGAGCCTACAAAACTGGAAATTAAAAAAAAAAACTATGAAACTAACCTTTGTACGATTTTGAGGACCTTTTTCATCTTTTGGGGGCAAAGGCTCCAGAGCAGCCCTTTCTAGGAGTAACAGAACATCATCGACTAATACAAACATATCTTTGTCCACACTAACAATTGGAGCCGGTGATTCTTCAGCATCCAACAGTCTTGGCCTATTTTTCTTGTCCTTAGATAGGCGGCCTTCAAGAGCCTTCAACCCACTATACAATGAATCCATCACCAAAGTGGATGTGACTTCCTTCTCTATGAAGAAGTGTTTCACGACTACTTTTAGAATCACGTCCATTTTCTCCCTTGACATTCGCCTTCTGGAATTTTGATCCATCCCTAACCAGAAGGCACAGAAGCTGCAACCAATAATATCCACCATTTTTATGAAGAACTTCTCAAACTTTGAGGGGAAAAAATAGATCAAAAGAAAATTCTTCCCAGATCCTCTTTTAGGGGTTTACCCTCTCCAATTCTTAGGGAGTCAAAACCGGTAGTGGTATATTAGAGATAATGAAGCATCCAACCGCCAAAAAAATTTCAGACATATATCAATTAGATAGTTGTCTCCAAGAGTCAGTGGTGCCGGTTTCACATTGTGTGATAATTTCTCCAAAACTTGGTTGTGCCTGCTGTCAAGTTACTTTCACACTGTGCGACTTTCGCACACTAAAGGAAACCACAGCAATTTCATGTCTTTGTGTAACATTATGGTCAGAGGAATGAACTACGATTTCTTTTCTGGAACAGAGAAGAGTTGAGTACATATGTTTACAATGTGAAATATATACCTCGTCCATCTAGCTTTGTCCTCTATCAACCTCCCCAGCTTGCTTCTTCTCTCTTCCACGAAGCGCCGGCAAATTTGCTCTACATTTGTCAAATAGACCCTAACGAGTTCTCTCCTATACTGACAATCAAGGCAGCGAAATGGCCGGTCCACCCTCTCTCTACAGGAATCGATTAAGAAATGTTACGTAAAAAGCAAAAGTAGCAACACAGAATGGTTATTTTGCACACTGCTCCGCACAGTTAATCCCGCATTACCTGATGACCTGAACTTGAGCCTTTATTATAAGAGAGTCAGAATCATCAATGAATCCATCCTGCAGTTTGGGTAACTCCATAAACTTTTTCCATCCCCAATCATGCTCTTTCTTCCAGAATCGGTGTAAAGTATCTGCAAGAAATGCGTTTAGTTCTCTGTAGATTGGAAACTGAGATGGGAGCAAGAAAATCAAAGACGCAAAATGTAAACCTGAGTATTTCGATTTCTTTGGATCTTTATTCACCACAGCTATAGTAAATTGAGCGAAATGACTCCATCCTGTCTCGGATATAACAAAAGAACCAGTGTGTTCAGGTTTGCAGACAGAAATGAGAACTAAGTTACAGAAAAGTGAACAACAATACTGACCTGGAAGAAGCTTATCATGGTTTGCAACACAGAGAAACAAAGACAGATGGTTACAAACATCACAGCCCTGGGGATAAATCAAAATGTACCTGCCATACATAGAATAAGGATAAAAGGAATAAAATCAGATACATAGAATCAAATCCCAACACGTTTGTCAATTTCTGCATAGATGTGCATATACAGTAACATTAGCTTCAGAATTTTCCATACATTTTAAAAAAAAATCTTTAACCAAGAAAGCCAAAATATGTGGATAGTAAACAAAACACAAGCCACATACCATTTGAAGCCACCAACGGCAAAAGCACTGCTACGGAGCTCCCTTTTGTTGATCTCCGAGAATTTATCAATCTTCCATGTATGTCTCCCATATAGTTCAGAGGGTTTTTGCCCTAGCAAAAAGAGCCAATTTCAGAGGAGATGACCGGAAAAGACATGCATAATACGATATAGTACAAAACTAAACAAACAAAAAAGGAGAATCATCTTAAATATGCGTATCTAGAAATACATAGTAGGTTATTGCACGAAACTGAAGTTCTAAAACGAACAAACAACCCGGAAAAAAAAAAAGAACAAAAACATACAATCTTAATCTTCCATTTCTAGCACATTTAATGCTAACAGTTGCCTGTCAATTCATACATTTGCTTAATCAGGCACTTGCAGCAATAGTAAGATGAGACAAAAATGAAAAGGAAATAAGACCTATAAGTCGAAAAAACGTCAACTACTATCTTGCAAGTGGATACAGATATCATCTGTAAAAGAAGAAAATCGGCTTGTACGAGAAAGCTGTCCGGGATGCAATGCAAAGCCATGACCCCATCATAGCATTCTTGTACATATAGTGCAAACTTATGAATCAAACAATAAATGGATGTGATTCATCCGTCGGTTATTGATCTTATTGAATAGTCGCAGCACATGCAAGAGCGTACCATCATCATCGTCATCAGTGTCCCAGTAAGGAGGAGACGTCGACGGAGTTCCATTCTCCAGTTGATCAGACGACCGCCACTCCACAATTGCTTCCCCCGATTGGCTTCTCTGTCCATTTGAGCTTTCCACCATTGATTGCGTTCGAGAATCCTCGTTAACAATCTCGGCCATTCTCCCTGCAAGGTTGTCTTATGTGCCAAAAAGTGTATCTCCTTCCTCGAACTAAGAAAATCAAAGAATGGAGACAGCAGATTAGATCCCGAATTATGCCAATCTCGTCAAAGATAACAGGCTTAGCACATTGCAATCTAGCAAGAGCAAGGCGCCGATAAAAAGATGTCAAATAACGATCAGAATACGATAAACGAACTCTAAAGCAGTTAACTTAGCCACTGAAACAGACAACAAAACAAGCAGGCAACTTTTCTCCGATTGTAACAGTCGTCTGTTTGTTAACTCTATCAAAACATAGCATCATAACTTGAATGATCCTAGAACACGGTCTGGACCGAACAGGCAAACTATTTCAATAAACCACTGAGCAAAACACATCCCAGAATCAAAATCCACAATTATTTCTCTCCGTTTTCAGGGAAACCAACCCAATTCATGGCTCAAATCCATACCGTAAACCCCACACCAGATATCCAATGGGCAATAAACCCTAAATCCAATCTTCAGAGATGGATTGATAAAACCCAGCTGAAAATACAAGAAAAATCAACCTCTCGTTTTCATCAACTAAATCTCCACAGAAACACCCAATTGCAATCAAACGTCGAAAACCAAACAAAACCCATAAACCAAAATTCAACGATCGGATAGCGAAAACCGTTCTTGAATAAAAATAAAACCAGATTGAAATCGGAAACCTAAGCCTCGCAAAATCTGAACAACAAGGGAGCGAGCGAGATTGAGAGGGGCGTTAAGGGCATCGCCCAGATCGAAGCGAACCTGGGTCGGTGGAAGAAAGAGCAAAGAGAAGCTTATTCTTCGAATGGGTTAATGGCTGCTCTTCGAGATTCTAGAGAGAGAAGAAAAGAGACGACGGAAGAGAGAGAGAGATCGCAGGAAACACCTAAAAGAAAAGCCCGAGGAGAAAAAACCCCTTATAAAAATTCATTTTAATTGTTCGATAATTTATAACGTTCATGTTTTTGAAGGAAACAAACGGAGGAATACCTTAAAAATCCATATTCATACTTGTTGTGCTCCAAGTTTATATCGAATTTGGTGGAAATAATAAATTTATTAGATCAACTTATCATATTATATAATTTTTAAATATTATACGATTATAGTTTAGTTGCATAAACAGTATCATATTTGGAATCTCTCTGCAAATTTTGTTTTAAATTTTTTGTATAAAATTATAAGTTATAAATTGGTTATTTACAAATAAAATTTTATGGTATGACAATATAGAACGATATTGGGGGAGTCCCCAGCCTAGTGGTTAATGACAACCCCTCTACCATGAGGTTGTGGGTTCGAATCCCAGGTATGGTACTACTTTTAAGCCGGTCAGCTTTACGAAGCTGGTTTACCTGCTCTGCGTGGTTTGCCGGCTACTGCGTAGGGCGGTGGGTGCCGTTCTCGTCCGGCCTATGGCCTGAGAGGCGTTGCGGTGTCCGGTGTCTGACCCGAAGGATTGTAGGATAGGGGTTTCCATCGTACCAAAAAAATATATATATATAGAACGATATTAAATCTGTTGGCTAGATTAGTTTATAGATTTTAACAGTTATTATAGTAGTAACAAAAATTGTTGATTTGACGATCCAAATATATTTGGTTGATAAACCAATTTATATAACTAATTTGAATTATGATAAGCATAGTGATTTTTTTTGTCACGATAATGTAGCGTTTATATTACAAATAACCCTTTAAAAGTTCAAAAACATAACATTTTAATTATTTTTGTAGATTTATTAACGACCTAATAGAGCGTATATTTTTCCATTCTGTTTCCAGTAGCATTAGTTCACGTAAAAACGGTACCCTAAAATGCAATTTGATAATTGATATAATTATTAATTATGAGACCAGTTTTCAAGTCCTCTTCTTTATTGCACGAACACCCGTACGTTTTTATTTATTACATAATAACCTACAACTTTAGAAACGTTCAGATTTCACCCCTAACCAAATACCTTCATTCTCCATTTCTTCCACCGTTCCTTCGTCCGCTCCGCCTCACCCACGACACCGATCAAAAGCTCAATCACGTATTCTGCGAGAGACAAGAAGCGGAACTCGACCGAGTGGTTCGTGAATTTTCAGGGATCGGTAATGGAAGTGATGGCCGGAGTTGGAACCGGAGAACGGCCGATATTCCTTCCGCTGAACCTTGATGGTTCCTGACAACCCAGATCTTCCCCTTCATTACCTGTCGGATCCAAGACAGAACAACTCTTGTAGAGTCAGAGAAAGATCGAAACCATGCATATGTAAGAAAAAAGTCCAACCTTTACGAGTCTCTCGCAAGTTCTGAAGCTCATATGATCCTCATGGCTACTTCTGCTCCTTCCATGGAGTTCTTCTGAAACAGAACAGTGTCCAACTATCACGAATTCGAATCTGACATTCACGGTCTCGTTCTGATAGTTCAGTCTCCACACCGCCTCTCCGTCGACCCTTCTCTCTTCCGTGCATTCGCTCTCTTGGAAAACCCGGAAAATCGCATTCCGTCCACTTCCCTCGGATGCGATCTGATCCATCAGGAGGCCGAGCATATGCAGCATGAGCTGAAACACTCTTCTACTGTCGCCCACGACTCGATCCACCAGCCATTTGTCGACATCTGTTGAGAAACCGAAACCCTTTTGGACACACAAACACTTGGCCGAGCAAGCTGCCTCCTTCACGAGCGAGTGTAGGCTAAATCCCCTCATCTGCAGTGAAATCGCTCTATCGCTGTTAATCTTTTTGGCTTCGTTGTTGTTGTTGATAAGTATCGATAGCAAGTTGCTAGTTTTGGCCATGGTGTCGACGATAATCTTCTGGTCACTGGATAGGTTATGGTCTCTCGTCATGGAAAGCAATCCAAGAATTGAATACACAGGACCTCTGGTCGAGTCACTTATCATCTGCTCGAATGATGTCCTAGCCTGATTTGCTCTTAGAGCGTCCTGTCTTGCTGCCTGAAGTGCTCGGTTCTGTTCCTCGAGCTTCTCTCTCGTAAGCTGAGATTCTTCAAGAATCGCTGCGTGAGAAATCGCCACAGCCACTTGATCAGCAACACACTCGATGATCTCGAGCTCCACATGAGTCCAATGCCGAAACTCGTCCCGAGGAAGGACTAACACCAAGATCGCATAACACATCTGTATCTCCTCAGGTGTCCTGCCATTGAAGCTCGAGACAGGAAGCATCGGGACCCGGATCCCGACCGTAGGCCCGGCCTCTCCTCGGCCAGTCACCCGAGCGAGAACAGAATTATCGCTCAAGAACTCCACCTCCTCACTGCATTTGATCCTTGAGACATCACACTCGTCGATAGGTACAGAACAACGGCGATAACGGCTTGAATAAGCATGGTTCCTCGGTTTAAACTCGTGTGTCAGATTCATCTCAGTTCTGATATTGTTAGGCATCCAGACCGCGCAACTATGAAGGCCTAAAGTTCTCGACAACTCGACCAACGTAGTGTAGAGTATCGTATGCCGATCAAGAGACTTTCTTATCTCCTGCGTGAGCATACGTACGTGAACTCCGGTCTCCTTCTGCTTCATTAGAAACCCGACTTCCCGGTCGAGCTCGCAGGCCTTCTTGATCAACAAAAACTCCCGAATCTTCGCCAAGAAGAAAACCGGGATCAGACTGACCATGGAGAGTGCGGTCACGATCGAGACGAAACCCGTGAGAATCTTGGAGATGGTGAGAGCCGCCATGAACAGGAACGGGTGAGGCATTGAGGTCAGAGCAGTGAACAGATGGGTCAAGCCGCAGAGGACGATGAAGGCGATGAACTCGATGATGTAAAACTTGAAGGGCACGTAAGATGTGCTCATGAAGTAGATGAGCTCCAAGGGGATAGTGAGATACGCCAAAGCGATCGTGAAGTCAGCGGCTCTCTGCGTGAGGAGAATCGTCTCGTAATGCCAGAAGCTTTTCTCGTCGTTGCAGTTGCATCTGGAGGAGAAGCCATTGTCGGCTAAGGACACGGAGCAGAAAAAGAAGAGCACGACAACAAACAATGTCCTTAACATTGTACAAGAACAGATCCAGACAGACAGAGATAGATGAATAGGAACGGTTTCAATCCATATTGGAACCAAGGTTGGATTTTTTCCTTCAAACCCTTGTTTTTCTGCTCCCCAGATTCTTCAAAACTGCGATTATTCCCAGAGATTTCCTTCAAATGAATGACCCATCACGTGAAGAATTCGACTTTTAACAGGAGAAAATCAAATTAACTGAAGCAAAATCATGAACAGATAAAAGACCCATTCATATTTTTGAAGATTCTGCTCTACGAAATCTGTCATCACACCAGAAACCTCAGTGTCACTTGCCAGCAATTTCATCAAGAGAACCCAAAATCAGATCAAACAAGCTAGCAGCCAAAAAATCTTTTGACCTCGCATGGTAGAAAAATCACAGAGAATAAAGTCCATACCTTTAAAAAAAACCTCCAATTGACACCGATCAGACCCAATTGCTTCTCCACAGAACCCAGAAAAACCCATGAAAAAAGAAACCACCTTTCGCTTTTCGTTTCCTCTTTAGGGTCTCTCTCTCACCTCTTCGAACACAGAGAGAGAGAGAGAGATGGAGTTTGAAGCGGTGGGGAAAACAGACAAGTGTTGGAGGATGTGTCCTGTGGATTCGGTCCGAGGAGGAAATGGGAGGGACCCGTGTCTTAGGTTAACATGAACTGAACATCGACACTTTTGTTTCAGTCCCTACTTCCATGCTTTCACACTCTTCCATTTCTAGGAATGAAAAGAATCAATGATCTATTGAAAAGTTTCCCACTTCTCTTCCTTTTCCCATTTTTAAATGGATGAATGTTTTTATCATTGTTTGAATGTTTTTAATTCCATTGTTCATCATTCCACAATTTAGATTCTTAATTTTTATTAACACGACACCAAATCTACGATTTTGCTTAGCTTTTTAACCGCATATATATATTCCCGCATTTTTCACGTGCTCTTTTTCATAAGTAACGGTAAGACTTTCTTTTCTTTTCTTTTTTGTGTGTGTGTATATATATATATAATCTAATTAATTCAGAACATTAAAAAACAGAAAAGAATCAAAAAATGCTGGATATGAACCACTAGATTACGGTGTCGAGATCTCATGATGATTATTTATGAACAAATATGTACACTCCATAAATGTTACGTCTTTGTAGATTGCTAAGTTCATGAAATGAATGTTGTGCCACTAAAATCACGGAGTATATATTAGACGTTGATATTGAAATTTCAGATTTATGCCATGAAATTTTCATGGAATGTATCAAATTTTATGGTGATTTCTCAAAGAGATGGATTTACGCTTTGTTAATTATGCAAACTACAACATATGTGTATATATATATATATACACACACACACACCCTTATACATGGTGATACATACACATGCCCATCGATCCTTGCTTATGGGATAAAAGGTTTTTTTGTTGCAGTATATTTTTTTCTTTTTTGCCGCAGAAAAATCATCTTCCTCGTATTCTCCAAAGTCGTTGGCCGTTTCCACAAACGATGGCAACGAAGACGGCAGAGATTAACGGTCCAAATATAAATTTTGAATTAAAAAAACAGTTTACGGCTGATTTTTTCATTAATATAGTTCACGATTTTTTTGGTGAATTTGCAGATTGCCCATAAAATGTTTTTACATATATAACTACAAACTGACATCGTACGATCCAATATTCCCCTTCACATAATCGTCAAAATCAAACATAAATACATATACATATATATACGGCCACATATGTGTTTGTGTCTCGTATGCCCCAAAAACATACATTAGAAGGAAAAAAGATATCATAACTATACATATGTATCAACTCATCATATATGCTTCGAATATCACAACAACGCCAAGGATCGCATTTTTTTTTATGAAAAAAGGAAATAATGACAGAATCGAAACTATATATAACAATGGAATATTGTAAACACAAAAATAAAAAAGAAGGTATATAACTAATTAGGGTGATGATATATATATTGATCAAGAGCCAAGTCTGAGCTCCAAATCGATTTCATCTCCTTCGACGACAACAACGCTTTCTTTCACCCTTTCGTCTTTGTCGGAAATCGAACCGATCCCTAAGCTCAAGCTTGTCCTCAAAACATCTTGTTCGTAACCACCCATTACGAGCTTTGGTCCCGACGAGGCAAAAGATTTATGAACTCGATGATCATCCTTGGCCGTGCTTTTAATTATACCGAACGTAGTCGGCGTATTAGGGTTCATGCAGAGTAACGATTCTTCTTCTTCTTCTTCTTCTGTTGTGGCGTTTGCGTTTGCGTTTTGCTTGGCTTTTGCACGGTCGCGGCGGTGGATGTTCATGTGACCGCCTAGGGCTTGTGCGTTGGTGAACCCTCTTTTGCAGAAAGTGCACTCGTACATCCGACGTCGGCTCCCGGCGGCGACCGTGGAAGATCGCCGGTGACTGTCGCCGGATCGGGTTGAGATTCTTGTCTCTGCTGATGACGATCTCTCGCATTCCATTCCTCACAAAATCCCTAAAACGCTTGAGATGACAAATAAGAGAGAGAGGGCGGAAATGGTTTGAAGAAGAAACCCTAAAATCTCGAAGAATGATGTTTTTTTTTAAGGAGTCAAAAGGGTTTGGTACATATAAGGATAATCCTGGACTGAGAAATAGTTAATGTAGCTATGGGATTTGGAAGGCATGCATTGGCATTATCTAAAAGAGTATATAGTCTACGGTGCCACATATATTAATTTGTATTTTTTTTGTAATGGAATTTGTAGAAGATTACCATCATATTATTATATGACAAATTTATTTAATTGTTCTACAGACAATATATATATATATATATATATATTAGTTGTTAAACGTTGCTATAATTTGACCAAACATTTCGATCTCTCTAGTCACATAGCTTATTAATTAATATATACATAGCATCGGGTTATTTTGTATTAGCTCTCCAATAATAGCAGTTTAAAGAAGAAATACACAACAATTTGAAGCTGGTTTTCTTTTTCTTCATTATTGATTAATTACTTGAATATATATATATATATAAATCATGTAAAGTCGTAGTCTACGGTACAAATATATTCTATGCAATAGTTCTTTTTTGTAAATATACAAATCGCCAAACAAAAAAAAAAATTGCGGGAACTCATACATTTGATATATTTCCAATGAACTTGAATCCAAATAATCCCCAACTAAACTCCACAATTAGCCCATAACCAAACAAAAAAGATGACAAGTAAAAGGCAAAGGAGGAGTGGTTCAAAACCACCATGGTCTCTCTCTCTTTTTCTTTTTTTGGGTGCAAATGGCGCAACTCCTACGACATTTTCCTTATGTGTTTGTCTTGTTATGATCGATACCTTAACTAATTTGTCTCAATTTGGCAGAAAAAATAAAAACACCCAAAAAAAAAAATAGTTAATTAATGGGTATTTGGATAATTAACGTTTCCTATTGGACAAGCAGACACAAATTAGGATGTCATTTCGATGGCAACCCGACTACTTTGATTGCTCAATCACTGCCACTTCACGCCTACGAAGTTCTGGTTTTGGTTCGGTTTTTGAATTTGGGATTATACACCCATGGTTCAGTCAGATGGACCACGAGGTTTTCTTGAAACATAACAAATTATTTAATCAGTCAGCACCAGTGGTCTAGTGGTAGAATAGTACCCTGCCACGGTACAGACCCGGGTTCGATTCCCGGCTGGTGCAATGTTGTTTCGTTTTTGCCACGTGTCGGTCGAGAGATACCAAACGGTTACCTTTTTTTTTTCTTTTTCGATTTTTTTCCTTTTTATTTCAATAGTTAAAATACTTTTTTAGATTATTAAAAGAAAATCCATAGAAACTTTCTTCTATTGAGTTTTGTGAGATTTTCTCTTAACTTATAAAAAAATAATATATTATATGCGAGTACTTACTATGTAACAATTCACCGCCAAACTCTTGCTATAGATACGGCATGCTGCATATACATATACAGATATATATGTATATCTATATATGCACACAAATAAACCATATATGATTTACAACCCTAAGGAGAGATTTTACAAATTAGTTAATTGACATTAATTAGGCCATGCAACAAACGGCTGAGGTTTCGTAATAAAAAGGCGCCGCCGGGTGCTGCCACTTCTTGAACACCGGTGGCGGCTTCTCCGTCTCTCTCCCCCGTCTATTTTCCTCCATCAACGCCGCAGATTGTTGGAGCGCCGGCGGCGGAGATTCCGGCGGTGACAGGAGCGGGATAGCCACTTTCCAGCTCGGCGGCTCAGCTGGGTTTATCTGAATCGGCGGCGGAGCACGCCGCTGGAGCCTGCTTGGCTGCCGCCGGTTTCCACCGGCAGATGATTTTCTCGCCGCCGCCGACATCGCCGGAGTTTGCTTAATTCAGATATCTCTATATATGTAACAGAGATGTGTATGTATATATATATTATATATACACAAACAGATATGTGTGTGTATTTATAGGCGTGTGGTTTGAGTGTACTTTACTTTAGAGCTGGGTTGAAACCGTCGAATCTTATATGATCTTTTTCCTTTTTTTTCCCAACTATTTTCCCTTTTGACCAAAATAGCATTTGACCATATTCTCTTTTTTGTAAGGACTATATTTGCTTTTATTTGTTTTATTGACATTAAATATTTTAGCAGCTTTTTTGTTTATGGTCTTTTGGACCCAACCAAATTTGTAAAATAAAATTAAATATTTTTCAAGGATAAAAGGGTGGAATCTTTATTTTTCGTGCAAAAAATCAATATTTTTATATTTATCTTTTCACTGAAATTCTACTATTGGATTTATACATCAGCCCACGGTGCCTTATGCTGGAATTACTTTCTGTATAAAAAAAATGTTTGGAGTTTACACGCACACAAAAAAAAAAAATATGAGAACGTGGCCAATCAAATTCGAGTTTATATATATTTGAAAAATAATTTTTTTAAAAAGATAAAGATTATACCAACTTTAGACTAACATAACCCCCTGATAAGATTTCTATTTTATATTACAGATTTTTTGTGTGCCACATATAATGGGCAGAATCATATTCTATTTAAGAATAATAAGTAATATATATATATATATATATATGAACAGTTAATTGCATATTTATTAAGAAAATAAACAAAAAAAATTAGCGGCCTATAAGTTTAGTTTTATTCAAAAGGTGAGTTTTATTCAGTGGGATGTGATGAGATTTTTATTGATGTGATATGAGATTATATATTAAAGATAAGAAGTTTGTCGACATTATATTAAATTACAATCTAAGACTAAAAACGTCTCTCTGCCGTTCAATACACACACACATACACGTAGAGGGTATATTTGTAATATCATGTAATTATAATTAGGGTATTTATAAAAGAGAGTTAACCTAATTATAATTACATGATATTACAAATATACCATCTATAACACACACACACACACTCTCTATATATATATAACGTGTTGGACAAATTATATATATTTTTTCATCAAATAGCAAACGGAGGTAATGAAAAGAATCATAACAAATTAACAAGAAAGCATAGAGATTTCCCAAAGGAATTAATTAAATATTATTTTCATGAATCGTAGGAACATTTGTATGTCAACCCGTTTGTAATGAAATAGATTAAAAAAACATTACACGAAGAATATGTAATAATAAAATTCACGTGTAGTAAATGAAAATAGACATCCGACCCCCTTTTTTGAACCGTCACGTATCTAACCACCACTATTTACATTCCGATGTGGGACAACGACCCCAACGTCCCAATTAACATCTCATAACACAGAGCTCTCATGATCATGATGAAGCACGTTTGCTTGTGCCATTATATATTTTTTTTTAAAAAAACTCATCATATCCATTTTGAATGAATCCACACAATGTTAGATTTGTTGTATCGTATATGTTAAGAGTTTTATGCCGTGGAAATAAATCAATATGGATATGAAAAAATGATAAAGAAAAAAACAAAAAAAATGACAAAAGGACGAATATGAAAATATTTTGAATCACAAAAACTAGTTAAATATCCGTAGTAAAATAAAATTTATCCTTATAAAATTATGTATATTACTATGCCCAATTGTATATTTTTTTGAATCCGCCACTATATATATATATATAAAATTCTACGACTTCATGCATGTGTAGGATAATGTACGTACATGTCCATATTAGGTTAAGGTCCTTAACGATGAATAATTTGATTTCTTTTTTTTTTTTAGCAACCAAAAGAAAGGGAAAGAATAAAATATTCGGGAGGCTCCTCAAGAGTTTCATAAATCTCACATTTAGCCTTGTACTCCTAAATAGCACGACTGCCCCCCACCTCTGCTTCAGATTCCCTTGATTTACCATCGTAACAATGTAGATGTCAAGATCCTAAAGAAAGGGAAATTGGATCAAGGAACCGCGAAACCCAGAAATTCAAAACTCCTCAATATCCCAAAACAATTAAACTAAAGAGAAATCATGAATGATATACTTGAACTAATCTAGAATCCTATTAATGTCACTGACAAAAAGAAGAAACTTTTTTCTTGAGAATTCAAGGTACAGCTCCAAGGCTGTGGGAGTTCTTTGGGAGAAAAAAACATATCTAGGCGGCTTTCGGTTTAGGAGTCTTCTTCCTCAGATCCCTCTTGGAGGTGGTTGTTGTGTTCTTCATTCCGACAAACAAAAGCAATGCCCCAAGGAGTGCAACACTCTGCAACATCATTAACAAGACAGGATACGGTTGTTCAAATCACTGTGTGCTTGTCATTTAGAAGACGCGGGTTTTATAAAGACAAGAAACTCGGGTTGTAAAGCTAAATTCTTTTTGTGGCTATGTTTCAATCTGTGGAAGGCAGTAGACTACACAACTGAACTACCTGGGAGGCACTGTCTAACCGCTAAGGCTACTGTAACGTACTTTCAGGAAAAAAGGGTTGTGAAAATGTTGACAGTTCCAGTTCCCAGTTCCAGATTTCATGTAACAGTACAGTTCTTGAGATCAAGATATGTGGGCTAGAGAGAGGTTCAGACAAACCTGCAAGAACTCGGTGAAGAGAAGAGAGAATTGGCGATCCTCAGCCCCGTAGTTGTAGAAGTCATATAGAATAGGACTGACAGCCACCAAGTAGAAGACCTGAAAACAAAGGTACAGAAGAATACAAAGTAAGACAAACCGCTACGCTTTGATAACCTTCCAAAATTGATTTAAGAATCCCCCAACCAGAAGATAAGCCCCAAAGACGCTGCCGAAAACAAAGAGTAAGCCTCCAAGTCCTTTCAGGGCAACAATAGTAGCCACTACTTGTTTCACCTGTATAATTCATTTCACTGAATCAGAAACATCGACACATGTAGCATAAAACATGAAGAAATCACAACACCGAAGAAAAAGATATCGAAATGGTGCAAGAATAAAGAAACCAGGTCATACAACTCGCACCTCAATATCAGGCAAGTCAATCCCTAATTTGAAAGATAGATGGGCCTTGGCCAGACGAAGCTTTGGAGCCAACTCTTTAGCTGCAGGCCCACCGTCAACCCCAAAGTCGTTGAACCTGGTAAAACAACTCAAGATGCATAATTCAGACCCAGGAATGTGGTCTATCATATATGTATTTAGGCAGCAACAGAGGAGCAAATATGAGTAGTTTGTTATAGTCAATGATGTCCATGAATTATCACAGATAGGATATTATATTCGATGGAGAAAAACATTGAAACAAGTAAAAAGCACCATTGTCATCGATTTAGTACTAAAAGATGCTCCTTTCTGGCGTATTATGCACTGGCAGGAGTTATCCAATGCACCATTTGAGGGATGCGAAGGGGACTCGTTTCTCGGTATGATATATGGAATCAGATTGCTAAAAACCAGGCCTTTATTTATCCAATGAGATGAAGACCGTATGAACAAGTGAACAGCATAGCTACTGACAAGCTCAAAAGCCAAAAGCCAACTAAAATTCACGCTGGATGCCATGTAGCTATGCGCATATGAATGGAACTAAAGCCGATCTAAGAAAAATCTTGAATTGCGTCCAAGAGAATTTCACTTGAAAGAAGTAGACAGTATAGATTGATTTCCATTAATCAACGACATTCCAATTAGGAAAAAAATACTCATTTGGGTCGAGCCATGGATGCAAAATGTAATGCAGAAACAGATCAATCATGAACGTACACAAGGAACCGCTCACACATTACACATGAACAGACAAAAACCTATCCAACTCAAAATTCAATCTTTACTAAGATATCAACACAATGCAAGCTGAAACTTCCGACCCTCCAAATCTATCATCCAGGAGCTGATTTTCGCGTCATTTATGAAGCCATTTAAGCTCGGAAGTAAAAGAAAGTTCGCTCCTTTATCGATCCGCATCTAAAAAGAATGGCCAAAGGAAAAGACTCTCAAACCAAAGCTAGATTCAGTTACGTAATTCATACCATCGGATATGTCAAAGTCAAACCCTAGATAGAGACGAGAAATTCAATCAAAGAACACGAGGAGTCACTAAATTCACATCAGATCTAGCACGAGATACATTATCTTCCAAGTAATAACCTTAAACGAGATCGAGGGAAATTAAGCAACGAAAGAGGGACGAACAAAAAAAGCCGTGTGCCTGAAATGGAAACAAGAAGATCAGATCGAGAGAGAGAAACACACACATTTGCCAAGCAGAGAGGATGAAGAGCGAAGCGAAGAGAACCCTTCCAAGAAACGAGGAGAAACCCATCTCGCTCGCTTGTTTGCTCTCTGGTTTACTGTCGGAGAAAGAACACTCCTCGGCAATGGGATCAAAGATCGGTTCCTCTGCTTTTTGGGGTTATTTATTTTCCGAAAGGAAGGTTCCTCAATAAATGTTCAGAAGCTAAAATTAGTTTTTATATTATTATAATGAACAATGAGGGGATGTAGCTCAGATGGTAGAGCGCTCGCTTAGCATGCGAGAGGTACGGGGATCGATACCCCGCATCTCCACTGATGGTTTTTTTGCCATGAACGCATCAAAATCTTATTTATATATATATATATATATCATGATGTCAATAGCATAGATCATATGTAACACGACTGAATCAATAGGAAACCAGTTGGATGCGTTTAATCCGCTAGGGATTTGAACCCTTTGGCATTTGTCCTAAAGATTCAAACTTTATTTATTCACTTGTGCTTCCTGCCTGAAACAACAATGTGTGTGTGTGTCCGTCACATTGGAACATGTACTGAATGGGGATATTTTCAAAGAACATGAGCTTCGTTTTTGAGCTTATCAATCAATTCATCCACCGAAGAAACCATGACTCCGGCTTTCCTCTTGGGGGGCTCTGTCACTTCAACCATCTCGACGTCGGATTTAACGTCTACCTCCAGATCCTGCGGCGTCATTTTCTTTATCGGCTTCGACTTTGCCTTCATTATGTTGGGAAGTGTTGCGTATCTCGGTTGGTTCAGTCTCAAGTCAGTTCTGCAATTAAACACCAAACTTTTAACAAAGATACACAAACGGCTAATCGAAGTTTTAACTCTAACGTGTGTAAAATAAACTGACAAGAACTACAACACCTTTTGTTGCTTCCAAAACTCATCAACATATTCCTACATTTTATAGCCAGTCTAGCTGCTCTCGTAATTTTGGGCAAGTCCAACGTTCTGGACCTAGTGTAGGACTGTCCCATGAATTGTTCGGTCATCATCTAGTTTACAAGGGTTTAGGAGGCGTTTGTAAATAATAACACCTAGGGTTGTGACTGCTTTCATACGGACATGAAAGATCAAGGTTGATGTAACAGCCCCTCAAGGAGAACCCAGATTTCATATGGGCAGCTGGAAACACATGAACAAGCACTAATACAACTTACGTTATCACAGCAGGTAAGTCCACACTAATGGTCTCTAGACCGCCGTCCACTTCTCGATCCACTGTTGCCATCTGTTTGCCCTTATCCAATACAACCTACAAAACAACATTGAGCAGCTCATGAAAAACTGATAAAAGAGAGAAAGCTCCTGAGCTTAAAGGCGAAACAAGAGTTAGGGAAGGGGGCATGGTAAGAATCCAAGATCCAAAAGACGAAAAAACATGTTACAAGTTGTGTATTGAAGCCTTAAGGCAACTGCCCACCAAAGCTTATGATAGTTCGTGTTCATTAGTATGAAGTTAAAAGGATTAGACATACCTTTGAGGCAAATGTTGCCTGTGGCCAACCAAGCAAGCCTGCAACCATTTGTCCAGTCTGGTTGCAGTCATCATCTATCGCCTACAGAGAGGTTGAAGAATATGTAAAAATAACATTCTGAGGGCAATAAACAAGACAAGAACAAACTCAGATAAGCTAATAGCAGACCTTATAGCTCAGAAACAGCACCGTATGATATTCAACAGTGAATAACCAATCACGAAATCCCAAGAATAACATTCGACCCAGTTTGAAAATTTCCTCAAATTCAAGAGAAGTACAATTAAACAAGCCTCATAGCAACCCAGCCAAGGTACCTGTTTTCCGAGGAAGACCAGCCCAGGATTCTCGATTTCAGCAAGCTTCTTCATGATCTTAGCAATCGTCAGAGGAACAAGGTCCCGATTTGCCTCCACGTGGATTGCCCGGTCCGCACCCATCGCTAGACCCGTCCGCAGCGTGTCAACGCACTGGGCGGGTCCGATGCTGACGGCGACGACTTCGCCAGCGATACCCGCCTCCTTGATCCGAAGGGCTTCTTCAAGCGCGATCTCGCAGAACGGATTCATCGACATCTTCACATTCTGGGTATCGACACCCGTCTGATTCCAGAAATCCGACAAAGGGTTTCAGCTAATTGAGATTGAAAACACCGTGATTCCAATTTCCAACAGGTTGGAGAAGAGAAAAAGGGGGACACGGGCTTTGATCGTACCTTATCGGGTTTGACCCGGATCTTGACGGCGTAGTCGACGACCCGTTTCACGGCTACCAGTATCTTCATCGGCCGGTCGTAGCTCCCCTATGCTTTTAACTTTCGGACGAACAACAAAACGGAAACGAGGTTCGCATGTAAATATTTATATGGTCATGATGGGCTTCCTTTGGGCCTTTGGGCTTGAATTTCAATTTGATGATTATATAAACCCAACCCCATTTTAAAATTATAAAGCCCAAAAAAGTATTTTATTTGTTGGACCAACCAAGAGACGATGGTCATTTCCTGAATAAGTATAACAATCAATATATATATATATATATATATGTATGTATTAAATACACATATGAAGATTTTAATTTCAAATTAGTTGTGAGTTCTGAAAATGGTGAAATAATTACAAAAAAAAAAAAATCAAACGTGGGGTCCCTCTTTGTTCTTTTCATACACTTTCCTTCTCGGATTCTCTGAGATCTAACAACAGTCTTCCAACTTTTCCGAGCATGGTGGCGCCATTCCAGTTCGCCCCACATTTTTCAAGTTTAAAAATTCCTTAATCATTTGAATATATTCTTTTTTATATATTATCCAACAAATTTTTTTTAAAAAAAAAGGTGCAGTGAAATAATAAATTGAACATACTTCACATTTGATTCATTAAGTCATATGTATATTGCCAAAACCTATCAATATTTGATTCTTGGAGTCATATATGTATTATTTAAATTTAAAAAGGTTGCCCTCAAGAAAATTTAATAAATTTAATATGTTAATTCATTACCTCAAAATAAATAATTAAAATAAAATTAAAAGAATAGGAACGATACTTTCTTCCAACCTTGAAATTACAACAATTTCTATGATACAACACGACAACTCATTGACTCTTTTTTCACTTCTAATGTTTCCTACACCAAATGAAAATAATTTCAAAAACTAATTTTAAAAAATAGACGCCCGAAATTGAATTTATTTAAAAAAAAAAAAACTTAGGGATCCAAATAAACAGGCAAGATGGAACTTCTAGAACCTCTGCTGCCCCCAAACGAGAAGAAAGATCTCTTCACTCTGTTACCGGCATTGCCATTACTGCTGCTACTTCCTTCCGTACAACCACCGTCTCCGACCACCGGAACTTGCCTGTTTTGTCGGTTTATGGCCTCTTGGACCGCCATGTAAAGCTGCTGATCCGCCGACGAGTCCATCGAGATCGATCTTCTGATGGGCTGAACCCCGAATTGGTCCCTGTCTTTCCCTCCTCTCATGTCTATGCACTCGTCTCCCATACTCGTCACTTTATGAAATTTCCTTCCTTTCTTCTGCAACACTCCACGTTCGATCTTCCTAGGCGAAGGGCTAACCGATCGAGGAGTGTTGGCTGTCGCTGCTTCTCCCTGGCTCCGCCTTTCTTGTGTCGCAAGCAATGCTTGGTTCCTAGGGTTAGAGCCGTTGTTACCAGAGCCTAGCTCGATAACCACGAAGTCGTTTCCGTGGTCGAGGCTCTGGCTTGGGTTACCGGGGGATGAGCTCGGAGCCATGACGTGATCCGGCGGGAAACTTGAGTTGCAGGAAACGCTTGTCCTGCAGAGAGGGCAATTGGCGTTGTTCTGAAGCCAGATATCGATGCAGTCTATGTGAAACAAATGGCAGCAGTTCGGAATAATCCTCAGTTTCTCGTCTTCCTGAAACTCGTTCAGACAGACGGAGCATTCTTGAGAGGTCTTGTCTTCTTCTCCCTCGTTTCTGTCTCCGACCCTCTTCTTGAACTGGAAGATTGGAAGAGCCCTAATTTCAGATTCATCCAAACCGCGGTCCCTGAGCTCCCGAGAGTAAATCATTAAAGGGTCTTGGCCGTTTCGCCGCCGAGACAGCGAAAACCGGCGAAGGAGATCGATTCGGTGCCAGTTGAGGCAGCATTTGATGACGAAGACGTAGTAGCTGACGAGCAAGAACGCTGTTGCCAAGATTCCGATTACGGCGACGGCGAGGATAGGAAAGCTTGTGCCCGATGAGCCCGAGCGCGGGAATATAGGGCTCGAGATATGCGGCGGGGGCGGCGGAAGAAGCGGCAGCGGAAGCGGTAGAGAGAACGCCGGCGGTGGAAATGCCAAATCGCTGAAAGGGTTGCCACGGTTTGATGTATCCATCAATTTCAAGCTCTCATCCGAGAGAATTAAAAGAGAGAGAGAGAGAGAGAGAGAGAGAGAGAGAGAGAGAGAGAGAGAGAGAGAGAGAGAAGGATTTCGCTTTTTCATCATTATCACCTATATTACATTCGTAGATGATGCTGAAATTGATAAACTGTAATCATGAAGGCATCAAAGGGGAGAGGGAGAGGGAGAGAGAGAGAGAGAGAGAGAGAGAGAGAGAGAGAGAGAAGTGCCCTTCTGAGATCTTGAGAATGATTACGAATCCATAGATCAAGTAGGAGCAGAAATGGTAGCAACTTTAGGTTGGAAACTATCCAGTATATATATATATATATATGTGTGTGTGTATAATTTCAGGGGAGATACAGAGGAGAGAGAGATTGGTAGAGGAGAAAATGAGAGAGAGAGAGAGAGAGAGAGAGAGAGAGAGAGAGGAAGACGGAGAAGAGACAGAGGAGGAGTAAATTGATGGGGAAAAGCAAAGAGAGAGTTGGTGAGATTTCTGAGGCTTTTCTTCAGACCAGACTCTTTATTACTTTAGTTTTTCCTTCTGTCTGATTAAACTTGGTTTTTTTTCCCTCTGATCTCGACTGGTGTGTGAATCCTGTCCTATTTTTTCTTTTATTTTTTGTTATATTTAATTAAAAATTTATATCGATTATTTTTAGATTAGAGAATGACGTGATCTTGTCGTTGGCTATGGTGTAATCAGTAAATATGATATAATTAATTACTCGTTGCATTATTTGGCGTGAATAATATTATATCATGCTTGCATGATTGGTGGAAAAGTTAATTTTTTTTTTTACTTTGGTGGGAAAAATGGTTTTTACAATGGGGTTAGATTAGTTTCTAATAATGTTGGGATCATATAATATATATGATATGATTAGTGGTTACCTTTTCAAGTGCGTCTATTTGGATTCACCTTATAATTAATGTGATGCAATGATGATAAATCTGATTATACCATTTACCAATCATTAAATATGGTAACCCATTTAAGATTTAACCATGATTGTCGGTATATATCAAAATTTAAATAAATTAAAGTAAAATCTTCTGGTACAGAGAGAAAAAAAACACCCTTTGTGATAATTAAGGGGAGGCCTTTTTTTTCCCTCCATCCACACGGTTTATCATCATTATTATAATTATTATTTTTTTACTTCGGAAGTTCACCGAGTCTTTGATCCGACTACATCTTCCAGAGGACCGGGAAAGCCTATGTGAATGTATCTCTTCACGCTTGGGTTTGAACTCAGGATGAGAGCATACTTTACATGTTCTCTTATCACTAGACTATCCAAACTTGGATATCATTATTATAATTATTACTAGGGTTCAATTATTTTTAGAGTTTAGGTTTCGATTTTAAAATTTTATATTTATATATGTTTGATTTATATTTGGATATGGAGGGTGTTTGTTTAATCTTTATTTAAAATATCCAATTCCTATTTTTTTATTATATTTTTCGAAGTAATTATTTCAGGTCATTGGTTTAAAAAATATATATTCAAATTAGATATATTTGATTCTAATATATAAACATATATATATATATAAATTTATATATCAAACTATGATTTATTTTAGAAAATATTTTAAAATAATACAAAATAGTTTAATCTAGTTAGAATTAGATGCCGATGCTCAAATATGCATAAACTTAGATGTACCCATAATATGGATAATGGTCGTTTCTTAGGTGTAACTGATCTCGTAATTGCTTGAGGTAATGATCATAAAACAAGTGAGATATGGTTAATTAATCCACAAGACTCGTAGTTGCAAAATATTTATATAATATTCAGAAGAAAAAAAACATAATTTATACCGTAAAACTTTATATTTAAGATTTCACTGAATTATTCTCAAGATAAATAATTTTCTTATAAATGTTGATTACTATATTGAATTGGAAATATTACAAAAAAGTTCGCGAGGGTCGGTAGGACTTTTGATAACACATCAATATCTAATCATCATTAATCACACAAAAAAAAAGCTAACTCGAGAGCACATGCATGATGCAGCCCACCCCATCTTCCCATGCATATGCATGAATAAATAATTAAATAAACTAATAAATGTACACACTCACATGTAAATTTAATATGTTCATAATTTTCTTGTGTTATATCTTTTATAATTTTCAAGAATTTGTAACAAAGAATATATATTGGTATCAGAAAATATTAAATTCCTAAAGAGTGATAGCCTTTCGAATTCATATAGCAAATATATATATTTTTATGAAATAATATAAACGTGGTGGGTCCAAAAAAAGGCTAGTCGCCAAGCCACAAGTTTGTCAAATGACTCATATCATATCCTCGAAACACCGAGACGAAAAGTCAAATCTACCATATTTTCTTTATTTCCTTGACTCATCTTTTAACATTTTTAAATTATTTTAAAAAAAATATTAAATCTACCAAAAAGGGGAAAAAAGAAAACATAAAATATGCAGAAAGAATACAAGATAATGGACCGACACTATTTCCATACTTTGACGTGTGTGTGTGTGAATGTTGACGAGATTGGCACCAAGACACGGGCAGAGCTCAACCGGTGAGAAACACCGCCGTGTCTGATAGTTTCTAATTAAAATAATTGTCATATTTTTAAAAAAATATTAATTTTATATTAGAAATGAAAAAAAAAAAATTTAAAAGTTGTAAGCTTTTTGAAAGAATTTGGTCCCATGGCTAAAGGGCTTATCTCACACTGGTCAAATGTTTGATGGGAAGAACTTGCTGGTCCATCTTTGGGGGCCTGAACTTCTTGAATTCACAATTTCAATCATAACGTTAATAAATGGGTAATTAAAGATAAATTAAACCCAAATTAAAATATATCCACTTGCGCGATAATCATACTCAAAATATAAACCTTTTTTCCACGGGTGTCACTTAGGTTAATATATGTGATACAATCGGGAATGTTATACATATATGCGTACGCGTGACTAATGAATATTTAGGATATATGATTTTCTTGGGACACATATATATATATATATATATTAATATATATACATGGGGTATATGTATAGGGGGTATAGGCTTCTTGTATAGGGGGACAATAATTTTAAATGTTTGTATAATTCACTCACGCGGTCAAAGATATATGAACATAAGCTTCTCCTACATGTACAACTTTTTTTATCCCGAAAAAGTCTATTTTATTTTATCCCCCTACCCCGATTTTGGTCCAAGCGTATAGAAATACTTGTCCAAAAGTAAGATTATTTAAGATTATTTAAATATTTATATGTATATATATGTGTGTGTGTTGAAGCTGAATAACTTACAAGTGTTCCAAAAATGTGTCTCCGACACAAACCTAACTCAATATATATATATATATATATATATATATATATATATATACATGGAACTAAGCATGAGCATGAAAGCGATTTACCAACATGTTTATACTAATTAATAACGATTAATATTTATATTTTTAAAAATAACTAGTACCAAATTAAGTTGTTATTAGTATTATCATCGAGTTATGTATCTTTAATCGAGATTTCCTTCCCACTGCTTCCCAAATCACGAAAGCGTTCGATATAATACATTTGGTTGGTTCACCAATAATATCTTTTTAATTGGTTTTTTGGTTCACCAATATGCCGATCTTCGTGGAAATTCAATTTGATATTTTTCGTATGTCTATGCATATAAACTTGAACCAATATTTTTGCCAAACTCATATTCGTGTATACGTTATCCCATGTTGATTACCATAAATGTTGCATCTATCTATATACACATAATATGCATATATATCGTATGACAATTATGCTACAAGTCATTTCATTTTTCGCAAGAAATCGTTACAAATGAATTGACTTTGTGCGCGTAAACCGACAAGATGGGCAGCACAAAAACAGGTTGAAATTGATAAAATAAATATTCATATCATAATAATCAGCAAGCCAATGAGAAAATTCAGCAGATTCCACGTGGGAACAGCTGTGAGTAGTTGGTTCTCTTTGGGAATCTAATTTGTATATTAAAATAATTTCACCTTTATATGATACTATATCATACACACACACACACACACATATATATATATATATATATATGTCATATGTAATGACGCTATTTACAAGGGGTTTTAGATATTCGGGGATCCAAATATTTCCACTATGCAAGCGAATTGATTAGCCTCACTAGTACTTGATAGAAATTTCTTCCCACTATTTTAAAATGTTGTACAAGTTGACGAATCATAACACGCCACGTGGAAAACCGAGATACACACAGAACACGTCAGCACGTGATGCGTAGCAAGTCACGTGAGTGCACCTGATCGCTGGCCACTGTATCTCAGTTGTACGTACCGTTTAATGGGAATTAATTGCAAATGGTCGAGGAGAGCACGTGTTGTCACGTGCTGAGAAGATTGGGCCTTTGTCGTGTATGTCTTGGTAATCCGAGTGGGCTTTTGTGTCAGATTAATTTGGGCTGCATAATGGGCTCTGTTTAAACAGAGAACTACTTGTGTTACTCCCACCGTCATTTTAGATTTTTTCACCGTTTTAAAAAAAATATAAAAAAATCACATATATTCTCATTAATATAGTCTATTAAATCGAATATTTTCAATTAAAGATAAAACTGATTTTTTTTAATAAAAAAATTATGTAAAAAATCTAAAATGATATCTATTAAATTACATAAAATATTCTCTAGAACGATATATATAATAAAAAACGGAGGGAATAATATTTTTGGCAGAAAAGTGGTGTTTTTTTATTGAGCATGAACTCCATTTTTAGGGAAAATCACTCCAATATATCAAATATATCGTACCTATTTCAGCGATACACTTAAAAAGAAATCAATTTTTTTTAATTCTATACTATTTTTGAACTCTTTCATATTTTTTACGACTTTATTATGACTGTTATGTAATTAATATACGATTAAAAAAACAGTGTTTACGACAGTATAACAACTAAAGATTCTGTAAACAATTAGATATATTTTTTGCCACCTCATTTAAAATCAATTACAACTGTATTTAGAATCAATTACGATTTTTTCAATTATAATTACACGATTTCATTAAGGATAATATGGTCTTTTTGATAAAAATTTAATGGATTATAATTTTTTGGGTATATCCAAAAGATGAGTGCAAGACATTTGGTATATTTGAGTGATTTACCCGCATTTTTACCCCTTGCATGTTCGGACTGATACGTTCGTCCGTGATCAGAACACAAAGGGGTAAACCCTGGCCGTTACTAACACCTTGTCGCCACGTTTCTTCCATGGCTTCCTCTGCTACTCTTCTGGGCCCACCGGCCGTCGCCGGTGGTTTACGGCCTGTAGAACCGGAGTTCAAATCGCTGGAAAGCAGCGGTTCCAGCTTGCCAGGCTTGATCTCCCCGACCGCCGCGCTGAGCCTCGACGGAAACCCGCCGATGGGTCTGACGGAAAACCTCTCGCCGACGTTTCTCTCCTCCGGCAATCCATGCCTGGATTTCTTCTTCCACATCGTCCCTGACACGCCTCCCGATGAGCTGATCCGGCGGATGTCGCTGTCCTGGGCCCACGACCCATTGACCACGCTGAAGCTCGTCTGCAACCTCCGTGGAGTTCGAGGGACCGGAAAATCCGACAGGGAGGGGTTCTACACGGCGGCGTTCTGGATGTTCCAGAACCATCCCAAAACCCTAGCTTTGAATCTTCAAGCCCTCGTGGAATTTGGGTATCTCAAGGATTTGCCCGAGATTCTGTATCGGATCATGGAAGGACAGCAGGAGGAGCGAGGGATGAATCGAAGTTGGCGGAAGAAGATCCAGAGGAAATTCAAGAGGGAAAGGGAGAGAAAATCCAAACTTTCCGGAGAAACCGAAGAAAGAATCCTGGAAAACGCCGAGGAAATCTGTGATCCGAACGACAAGGAGAAAGCTAGGGCTTTGCGGAAACAGAGAGAATTCGACAAGGCGAAGCGAGCCCTAGAGAGGTATAACTCTGATGCTAGTTACAGACTCTTATTCGACAGTGTCTCGGATTTGTTTGCTGAAATGCTGAAATCGGATTTGAAGTACCTGAGTTCGAACGAGCTGAATAAAGTTAGCTTAGCCTCGAAATGGTGCCCTTCTATCGATTCTTCGTACGACAAATCCACGTTGATATGCGAGGCCATTGCTCGGAGGATTTTCCCTCGCGAGAAAGAGTACGATGAAGGTGTGGAAGAAGCACACTATGCTTACAGGGTCAGGGACAGATTGAGGAAGCAAGTTCTTGTCCCATTGCGTAGGGTTCTTGAATTGCCAGAGGTGTTTATGAGTGCCAACGAGTGGAATTCGCTGAAGTACAACAGGGTTGCCTCCGTGGCGATGACGAACTACAAGGAACTGTTCGAGAAGCACGATAAGGAGAGGTTTGCAGAGTATTTGGAGAATGTCAGATCCGGAAAGGAGAAAATGGCGGCCGGGGCCTTGCTTCCTCACCAGATAGTCAACCAGCTTGTCGAAGGCGGTACCGGTGAGGAAGTTGCAGAGCTTCAGTGGGCGAGAATGGTGGATGATCTCTCCAAGAAGGGGAAGCTGAAGAACTGTATGGCGGTTTGTGATGTATCGGGAAGCATGTCGGGGACGCCGATGGAGGTCTGTGTGGCGCTCGGTTTGCTGGTCTCGGAACTGAGTGAAGAGCCGTGGAAAGGGAAAGTCATCACCTTTAGCGAGAACCCGCAGCTATATGTCGTCGAGGGCGAGACCCTGAAGGAGAAAACCGCGTTTATCAGGGAGATGGAATGGGGGATGAACACGGATTTCCAAAGGGTGTTTGACCGGATCCTGGAAGTTGCAGTGGAGAGCAACTTGACCGACGATCAGATGATCAAGCGGCTGTTCGTGTTCAGCGACATGGAGTTCGACGACGCTACGGGGAAGGTAAGGGTCGAGCGAGAGTCCGGCCTGACGTACTTGGAAATGGAGGAGATGGCGAAGAGACGGGCCGAGGAGAGATGGGAGACGGATTACGAGGTTGTCCGGAGGAAGTACGGGGAGAAGGGGTTCGAGAAAGTGCCGGAGATGGTGTTTTGGAACCTGAGGAGCTCGTCGGCGACGCCGGTGGTGGCGAAGCAGAAGGGAGTGGCGATGGTGAGCGGTTTCTCCAAGAATTTGCTCACTATGTTCCTGGAGGAAGGTGGTATTGTCAATCCTGAGCAAGTCATGGTGTTGGCCATTAATGGCAAAGAGTACCAGAAGCTTGTTATCCATGACTGATGATGATGATGCAATATCCATATATATATATATATATACATATGTATAATGAGATGCGGTTTTTGGGTGATAGATACTATTTCGATTTCGGTTGTGTTGTTACATTCCGGTTTAAAAAAAGTATACTGAGTTCGGTTTGGTTTTATTTTGATGGGTGTTTATTGATACAAATATTTATTTTTTAAAATTGTTTTTGGCCATTTGTTTAATTTGTATTGAGTTTGATGTTTTGGATTTTAGATTATTTGTTATTAACAAAATCCATCACCCTAATATTTATGGAACTAATTAAACGGATTAGTGAGAAATAAGGAATTAAACACAAGACTTTTTCATATGTAGTCAGTAGTTAAACACATAACCGATACAAATTATTTTCCGGGTGTAATGTATCCGATAATTTCCTTTATTTTTTTTCTGTTTTATACGAAAATCAATACCGATTCATATTACATTATTAGAAAAAAAAATTACGTTTTTTTTAAAAAAAAAATCAAAAAGTGGAAAATTAGTTGGACTTAAACTGTAACAAACTCACCTAAATTATAGGAATTTTACTGCTAATTTCACTCCAAATAGAATATGCTTTTCCTAGTCCCAATAAGAATATTCTTTTTTTTAAAAATCTCTATTTATACACCGCACTAACCCTAAACACTTGACAGTCCATCAAAAGCTTTGATCCTCGTGTGAAGAAGAATATCTCGTCATTTCGGCGGCACGGTGACTCACTCATCTAGTTCTTTCTAAATATTTTGTATAAGTTGATTTGTTGAATTTTTAAAACGCTGAAATAGTTACAATATACATCGGTTTTAATTTAGGTATATATGTGTGTGTATCGGTTTTCTATAAAAAGGCTGTCGGCAATTTCATCACGTAAACGTGTTCGTATCATGAACGCCGCGTGTGAAAACTTCGTTTGCAGTGCATGCCCATGATCTTTCTGTGATTCGAAAAGCTATTCTATAATTCTGCAATTTATAACCTAAATTCACAAAAGGGTTAGGAAACTAATATATATATATATATATATATATATATATATATATAGATAGATAGAATTGTTTCATATATTTAGTCAACCATGCACAAGTACAACTACAATACATAGAGATCTAATATAGCGTTTGCGTTTGTTTTCTGGTTTTGCATTCAGTCGCGGGAATCACCGAATCGTGCTATGGCGAACGAAGAACGCAGCGTTTTGAAAGCGCTGGACGCGGCCAAAACGCAATGGTACCACTTCACGACGATCGTGGTCGCCGGAATGGGATTCTTTACCGATTCCTACGATCTTTTCGTCATCTCTCTCGTCACGAAGCTCCTCGGCCGCATCTACTATCACGTGCCAGGCTCCTCTTCGCCGGGAAGTCTCCCCAACGGAATCTCCTCCGCCGTCAGCGGCGTTGCCTTCGCCGGAACCCTAATCGGACAGATCTTCTTCGGTTGGCTCGGCGACAAGCTCGGTCGGAAAAAAGTCTACGGCGTTACCCTTTTGCTCATGACCATATGTTCCATCGGCTCAGGCCTCTCCTTTGGTAGCGACCCGAAAACCGTGATGATCACGTTGTGTTTCTTCCGGTTCTGGCTAGGGTTCGGTATCGGAGGGGATTACCCCTTGTCGGCTACTATCATGTCGGAGTACGCGAGCAAACGCACTCGCGGCGCGTTTATAGCCGCGGTTTTCGCCATGCAAGGGTTCGGAATTCTCACCGGAGGGATTGTCGCCTTGGCAGTCTCGGCGTTTTTCCAGGCCAAGTTCCCGGCCCCGGCTTACATGGTGGACGCGGCCGGTTCGACGGTTTATCAGGCGGATTTCGTCTGGAGGATCATTCTGATGGTCGGAGCCATACCGGCTATCCTGACTTACTACTGGAGGATGAAGATGCCGGAAACAGCTCGTTACACGGCTTTGGTGGCCAAGAACGCCGAGCAAGCTGCAGCCGACATGTCGAAGGTCCTCAACGTCGATCTGGAAGCGGCTAAACCGGTTAGGGTTTCGAGCGAGGAGTATGGCTTGTTCTCCAAGAAATTCCTTATCCGCCATGGGCTTCACCTGCTGGGCACTACGTCTACATGGTTCCTTCTTGATATCGCGTTCTACAGTCAGAACCTCTTCCAGAAGGACATCTTCACGACCATTGGATGGTTACCGTCTGGGAAAACGATGAACGCCATTGAAGAGGTCTTCAAGATCGCCAAAGCTCAAACCCTAATCGCCCTCTGCAGCACAGTCCCTGGCTACTGGTTCACAGTCGCGTTCATCGACAGGATGGGACGTTTCCCGATCCAAATCATGGGATTCTCCTTCATGACGGTCTTCATGTTCGCGTTAGCCATCCCGTACCATCACTGGACACTCCCACACAACCGGATCGGGTTCGTCGTGCTATACTCGCTCACGTTCTTCTTCTGCAACTTTGGTCCGAACGCGACAACGTTCATCGTGCCGGCGGAGATATTCCCGGCGAGGCTGAGGGCCACGTGTCACGGGATATCGGCGGCGTCGGGGAAGGCGGGGGCGATGGTTGGGTCGTTCGGGTTTTCGTATTTGGTTCAAGCCATTGGGATGAAGAAAACGCTTTACATAATGGGGGGCATCAACCTTTGTGGCTTGCTGTTTAGTTTCCTTGTGCCTGAGCCTAAGGGGAAGTCACTGGAGGAGCTTTCTGGCGAGGCTGTGGAGGAGGAGGAGATTACTTCTACTTGAAAAAGAAGTTTTGATTAGTTTTAATTGTGTTTATGTTTTTTAATCTCTATTAGGGTTTTAATCTTTGGTTTATTTTTTGTCAGGAACTTGATGGGTAGTAAAATTTATGGAAATCTCACTTTGCTTTAGAATTTTTATAAATAGTTAAATAAGGCTAAATCCAACTCATCAGATCAAAAAAACAACATGAACGAGAAGAATCATAAGATGACTTGTGATCAAAGCAGAGACATATAGTTCTGGCTAGAAAACTACCAGGAACATGTTCTTAAATGGGTCCGCGTATGTCGGAGATCTTCTCGACAAGTTCTTATTCAAAGGCTCTAACTTTGTCCCAAAGTCTGATGGAAATACAATCAATTCGAGCGCGAGGCCGAGGCTATGGCTCCTCGGGTTTAAGAGAGGCAAGAGTATGCGAGATCCTTCTCTTCCTTCAGCTCCTCTGCCGTCGAATCCATCTTCTTCCTCGAGAATTCATCGATCGGGAGCCCTGTCATACCGATACCACGATTAACTAGTCTGAATAAACTCATTCCAGTAACTAGTTTGAGCTTCTTGTTGCAAAATTGTTTACCTTGGACAATGGTCCACTCTCCGTTGCGGCAGGTGACGGGGAAGGAGTAGATAAGCCCTGCCGGGATGTTGTAAGAGCCATCGGAGTAGACTCCCATTGAAACCCAGGTACCCTGACACAAGAGCCGAGGAGGTCCCATCAGAACGAATGGATCAACTGTCAAAACTCGAAGAGTTTTTCATGGGAGTTGCGGCACAAACCTCGGAAGTTCCAAGGACCCAGTCACGGATGTGGTCACAAGCAGAGCTGGCGGCGGAAAGTGCACTAGACAACTTCCTAGCTTTGATGATGGCAGCACCGCGCTGTTGAACAGTTGTAATAAAGCCTCCGTTCAACCTATACACAAAGGTTTAGTTCAGACAGAGAGCAGAGCTTTAGGTCAGATTGGTCTTGGGCGATGTTCGGAAAGACGGCTCTAGTTTTATGAGATGTATACCATTCATCATCCTTAACGAGCTCACGAACAGGCTTTTCCCCAGAAGGAATTGTGACGGTAGCATGGTTGACATCTGGGTACTGAGTCGATGAGTGGTTTCCCCAGATAATCACATTCTTAACATCAGAAACAGGTACGTTCAACCTCTCGGAGATCTGACCCAATGCCCTGTTGTGGTCAAGCCTGGTCAAACAGGTGATGTTCTTCTCAGGGATTGATGGTGCAAATTCCTTCAGGATCAATGCGTTGGTGTTGGCAGGGTTTGCAACCACCAGGACCTAAAAAGATCAAAGAGGGTGGATACCTGAATCAGACTATAACCAAAAAGGAAATCCATGGGAAAATGATGCCTAGAGATCATCTATTAAGTGAAAGGAGACAAACAAACAAGATAAACCTCCTTCAATTCGTTCCAAATCATTATGTTACAAGAAAAGGAACTGATTTTATCACCTTGCAGTTCGGGGCAGCATGCTTCTCCAAGGCAGCAGCCTGAGACTTGTAAATCGAGACATTCTTGGACATAACATCCTTCCTCTCCATTCCCTCTTTACGGGGGAAACCACCAACCATGACAGCAACATTGACGCCAGTGCATCCTTCAACAGCATCAGTTGTAGCAACAACTCCTGATACATAAAATTCCATCAGCTCTTTTACTCGAGCAAAATGTATAATGCAAGCATAAAAAGATGCACAACAGATGGACTAAACGATATGTGAATACACTCGGACAACTCCACTACCTTTCAGAAGAGGGAAAGCTGCGTCAACCAACTCCATTTTCACACCATTCAATGCTTCTGCGGCCGGTGGGATATCCAGCATGTGAAGGATCACGGGCTGGTCAGCTCCCAGCATGATTCCCCTCGCAATCATGGGAACAAGGGCATATCCAATTTGTCCTGCACAATCACCACCAATCCTTCATTAGCAGAAACAAACTTGCTTATGTCTAAGAAACTAATCACAGTAAAATCCAATTGGACAAATAGTGACTGCGAGAATCAGAATATGCGAAAAATGACGCCTAAATCAAAAGATATCTCGTGTAAAATCAGATACGAAGACACATCTCAACCATTCTTAGATCAAGTTCAATCAAACCAGCACGAATTATTATCAATGGATCATAAAGTTGAAAATTTTAATCTTCTGCTCCGTCAGCTTTACGGTAGCTCGTCCATTTCCAGTTCAAACCTCTTGGGAAACACCCTCAAGATAACATTCATAGAAAATGATAAATAATTGAAGGAAATGAATAGATTGTTCTCGGATAAAGCAACAATGATCAACAAAAACGAAGGGAATATATAATACAACAAATCAGACAACCAGAACCCTGATGTTTACTGCGCACAAACACTGCAAAAAAAACTGTAATAGCAGGCAAACATCTAGAACCAATAGATCTGCCTGATCAGACCATTCCGGCAACCAAAAACCCTAAACTAGATCTGAGATTCGATTGACCGAGAAAAAGTCCAACAGAAAAACCAAGATCCATGAAGAGATCTGACCAAACTGGAGTGCAACTGTGGGTTAACGAATCGGAAACCCGAAACAGAGGCACTAGATCGGAGAAATTCACAGTTACCTGCAGCTCCAGTGACGAGAACGCGAACTGGCTCCTTTGCCATCGGATCTAGATCGGAGATGATCACCGGAAAACGTATCGACTACCGGGGCTTTGAATTTCGTGAGAGGCGTTTTCTCTGTCCGTGAAGCAGGCCGAGAGGTTTTTTCCTGGCTTTATATTCGACGGAAGGGGGGGACCAATGAGCTGACACCATGTCATCATATTATATCATTTTATCTCGAAAGAATAAAAATTGAGATTATAATAATATATAAATTCAATTATTTATGGGCCTTGATAAATCCAATTATTGGGCCGATAATTAAAGGTATTTGAAGCCCAAATAACAAACTTCTGGTCTGGCCTCAGTATTAGGCCCATATGTATTATTACGGTTCAATATAGCCCAGACTTTTCAAACCGATACCAACGCATTTGTGAAGTTGTGAATGGGATAACGCCGATAGCGTAAGACGAGTGAGGAGACTTCTCCGGCGATGGCGTCGTCTTCCGTCACCTTAACCGCCGCAATCTCTTCCCCTGTCTACAACCACAGTGATATCAACGGAGTTAGAAGCTTCTCGCGCCGCCGCACAACACTGCCGCCGAATGCTACGAGGTGGACGAGGAAATGTTTCAGAACTTCGGTTGTGGTGGAAGCGGCGACGGTGGCGAAGAAGAAGAAGAACGCTATGGAGTACAGGAAGCTAGGAGACTCCGACCTAGTTATTAGCGAGGTTACATTGGGAACCGTAAGATAAATCTCCTTGCCCTCGCATTATCATTATCTTATCCAATTTTTGCCGATGCTAGCGTTGGATTTAATCCGAAAACCAAAATGAAATCTGTGTGAAGGTTGAAGGGCATTTTCTTTTGCGTGCAAATTTTAATTTCAGATGACATTTGGGGAGCAAAACACCGAGAAAGAAGCTCACGAGATTCTGAGTTATTCATTTGAACATGGCATCAACTGCATAGACACTGCTGAAGCAGTAAGCTTTTCTATCTTCCCTCCACTTTATGCTCCAAGAATGCTACTGCATATGCTTGAACGCGTTCTTCTTTCTTACATGTGTGATTGGTGGATGCCAAGATGCATGCCTGTTCATTCTGTTCAATAAAAGCAATAGTCCTATTAAGATTCAATGTGCAATTTCAGGCCGTGTGGTACGTTTTTTGTACTGAAAAATAAAACTGAAGTCTTTGTTTTTTAATTTGTTCTTGTTGCAGTACCCTGTTCCAATGAAGAAGGAAACTCAAGGTAGAACAGATCTTTATATCGCCAGTTGGATGAAGTCCCAGCCAAGGGACAAGGTACTACTAGGGACTCGTGATTGACGCTAACTGAAGTTATGTATGTCTGAATCCACAATCTTGCTGTTTCTGTTTATCTGGATTGCATAGATGGACACAAACCAAATCTGAACTGTTTTATTGTGTTGTGAAACTCATTACATATGCTTGAACAATTATCCAAACCGTACTGTTGCTATCTTTGTGGATGGGATGGGATCATCAAGAATGTCAGACTTTGCTGAAACCTACTCCAAGATACTAAATTTTGATTGATTATCGTTGGCCTGGGCAGATTATTCTGGCAACTAAAGTATGTGGGTATTCAGAGAGATCATCATATGTGCGGGACAATGCCAAGGTTTTGCGTGTGGATGCTGCTAATATCAAGGAAAGCGTAGAGAAAAGTCTTAAGCGCCTCGGCACTGATTACATTGATTTGCTGCAAATTCACTGGTACCAGCTACTTTTTTATACTGCAACTTGTGGAATTAGGAGAAACCGGTTTTAAACTTGCCAAAATGTTACTGATGCTATGCCTTAAGCAAGTTATTTTTTCCGTGATTTTTTTCACAGGTTGCTTAGTATGTGTATGTGGTTATTCTGTTCTTTTGACATTCATAAGAGTGGCTAATCTGTTCTATCGTCCTCGTAAGATATGGATTGCCATTGCATGTTCTCTCACAATTGGATAATCTATTCTAGATCATTCATTTTGGCCATTCCCTAATCTTATTCTCAGAAATTCTCTGGATGAAATCATTGTAACTCTTTTACTCTATCCACACTGATTGCCATGTAATCATGATCCTGATGCTCCATTCCTCATCCAGGCCAGATCGGTATGTACCACTCTTTGGAGAGAGTCATTATGACCCGTCAAAATGGAGACCTAGTGTACCATTTGTAGAACAACTGAGGGCCATGCAGGATCTCGTAGAAGAAGGCAAGGTAGTGACAATTCAGCTATTATTGATCTTTTCCAATACTGCGTTTGAAATTTTCTGAGCTAATTGAGTCTAGTTGGAAAGTTCTAAATAGATTCGGTACGTCGGTGTTTCAAATGAAACATCATATGGAGTCATGGAGTTTGTTCACGCGGCAAAAGTTGAAGGACTGCCAAAGATCGTGAGCATCCAGAACAGCTACAGCATGCTAGTTAGATGCCGTTTTGAAGGTAATGCCGTGTAGTTTCCTTGGGAGTAAACTTTTCCGAGAGAGAATATATTACGAGAACAGGATTTACAAAACAAATAGGAAAGAGTATGTCCTGATTCTTGTCATGGAATACGCAGTTGATCTCGTGGAGGTATGCCACCCAAAAAATTGCAACGTTGGCTTACTCGCTTATTCTCCGCTGGGAGGCGGTTCGCTGTCAGGGAAATATCTGGGTGAAGACTCCGAAATTACAAGGAAGTCGAGGCTGAATCTTTTCCCAGGATACATGGAACGATACAAATCATCGCTTGCCAAGGTTTTAGCTTGTGTTTGATCCTTGTAGTCATGGATTCAGCTATGGTATTGGCTTATGATTTGTTCTCTCTCTCTCTGTCTCTCAGGAAGCTACGATAAAGTACGTGGAACTGGCGAAGAAGCATGGTCTAAGTCCGGTGGAGCTGGCCCTGGGATTCGTACGTGACCGACCCTATGTGACGAGCACAATCATCGGGGCAACCTCCGTGGAGCAGTTGAAAGAGGATATGGACGCTTTTCTCGCGACGGAGCGGCCGTTCTCGCCGGAAGTTATGGCCGGCATTGAAGCCATCTTCAAGAGGTACACGGACCCCGCTTTCTTCTGACACCTCCTTTCTAAGTGAACGTTAATAAACTCTATTGTTCTCCTTTTTTTTTTTCTCTCGATTAATATTTGATTAAATATGGACCGACATCAAGATCTACTGCTTCCCATTCCCCACGTTCTCAGATTCTCTCCTCTTTATTGATGGGTTGAACACCTTGTTTTATACATACACATGTAAATATATATATATATATATATATATATATATATATTCTTGTAACGTTGAATAAAATGGGACTACACAAATATATGTTACAGAAAGGCTGTGGTGGTATATTTCATTTTTAATTTTGTTTAATAATAAAGTTTTCAAAATATTTACAATGAAGCAACTTGGGGCTTCGCATTCATTCTACAGCAAGCGACAGTGTGAGAGAGAGAGCGACCCTTTTACATTACAACGTCACACTGTCTCTGACACTACACATATACTTTCCTCCTTCATTCCTTCATTCCTTTCTCCTTGTAGCCCGAAAAAACGTTTCAGCGGAAGGAAAAGGCAGAAAGTTTTTCCCCGAGATCTGAATCTAAGCCTCCTTTCTCTTCCTATTTAATTTCACGTTGATTGATTCCTTCCTTGTTGCCTCCCTCCTCCTGCTCCTTGGATCTCCCTTGCGTCCGCCGGAGTCTTCTGGGTCACGTGAGTTCCCCTCTGTTCTTGTTCTGGGCTTGCCCGCGTTATTGATTTATCGCAGATGCGCTTGATTTTCGTTGATGGTGATTCGATTTCGTCATCTGGGTTCCGTTCCCCGTTGGATCATCCGGATGCGGTGAACTTTTATTCATTCCGTGTGTTTGGATTCGTCGCTCTGGGCTCAATTTTCCCGGGGGGAATTGTAGGTTTTCATTTTCCCGAGAAAATGGAAACTCTGGTTTTCCAGATCTACTGGTTCTAGTTAGTTTAAGGAGGGTTATAAATGTTGGATCAATCCAATAAATGAGCTCCATTTTATTTTTTGCTGCAAATGCATTGTAAATCTGCTATCTAACCCGACATCTCCAGTTCATCGGATTGATGATCCATAGTCACTGATTCCAAACTCGTTGTTTCATTTCAAAATCGCATCAATCTAAAAAGATTATGGGAATAATTAATCGTTTTTTTACTTGCTTGTCAATTAAGGTTTTCGTTGCTTGTTCTTCGATTTCAGAACCACTGACCAAAAAGGTTGTCGGTGGCCTCATTTCAGAATAAAATAATAATATTCTACTATTACTCAGTGTTCCCACTTGTCTTTGGTTCTGTTTTTTTTTAAATAATGCTGTTCTCTTCCCACTAGTGTGGCTGCCATGGTTGTCTACCAAACTTAGGTTGATAAGTGTCTAATAAGCCCTCAAGACTTTGCTTGCTCCTCTTAGTCTTGTTTCTTATTGTTGTTCTGTTTTTGGTTTGTGCAGAAACCGTTGGAACTGTTGTCATATGTACTTAAAGTAGGTTTCTTTGCTTTGTTTTTTGGAGTTTAAAGCAGAGGAAGAAAGTTGTGTTGGATGGTCTGTCTGTACGCGGGGATAGCGAGAGTAAAATCCATTCTTTGAAGACATTTTGGGAGTTTAATAAACGATGAGGGGGAGATCTGATGGAGGCCAGAAGAAGCGGCTGGTCGCTTTGGCTTGCGTGGTGGCATTGCTGGTTTGTTTTATATATATGTATTATGGTTCCTCAGATCAGGCTGCATCTGCTTTGGAATACGGAAAGTCTTTGAGAAAACTTGGATCGTCGTATTTGGGTGGAGATGATGATGATGATGCTGATGACACTAAGCAGGAAGAGTCGGTGGCCAAGTTTGGACTACAAGACGATGCTGTGCTTAAAACTTTCCCTGTAAGTTCTTTGAATTCCAATATTGTTGCAGAGAGCTCGTGTGGCAAATGTGTTGTGTAACTCACTTCTACTGTGTGTTTGTGTTTTTGAAAGGTCTGTGATGATCGGCACTCAGAAATTATACCCTGCTTAGACAGGAACTTCATCTACCAGATGAGATTGAAGCTAGATTTGTCTGTCATGGAGCACTACGAACGTCACTGCCCACCTCCCGAAAGACGGTTTAATTGTTTGATCCCTCCTCCACCCGGGTACAAGGTGTGTGCTTGTTCATAGTCTCGGATGTTGGAATCTTGTTATTCTGGTTTTTTTTTGTTGCTTTGACCTGATCAGGTATTGTCTTTTCTTTGGTGATATAGATTCCTATCAAGTGGCCCAAGAGCCGAGATGAGGTGTGGAAAGCCAACATACCTCATACCCACCTTGCACACGAGAAGTCTGATCAGAACTGGATGGTTGTGAAAGGCGAAAAGATTAATTTCCCTGGTGGAGGCACCCATTTTCACTATGGTGCTGACAAATACATTGCTTCAATTGCAAACGTAAGTCTTCTTAGATCTTATCGTATGCCCATTTGGCCGAAACCTCTGTTGCTTTATGCTATTTTAGGTTCAAGATGGTTTATTTCATTCAACAAAGACCGTAATTCTTGTTACTCGAACTTGCAGATGCTTAACTTTTCAAAGAATAATTTGAACAACGAGGGGAGACTAAGGACGGTTCTTGATGTTGGCTGTGGAGTTGCAAGTTTTGGAGCTTACCTTCTCTCATCTGATATAATTGCGATGTCCTTGGCACCAAACGATGTCCACCAGAACCAAATCCAGTTTGCTCTAGAGAGAGGAATCCCTGCCTATCTTGGTGTTCTAGGCACGAAGAGACTCCCTTACCCGAGCAGATCATTTGAATTCGCTCATTGTTCTCGGTGCAGAATAGATTGGCTTCAAAGGGATGGCATCCTACTCCTTGAGCTCGATCGGTTGCTCAGACCCGGCGGGTATTTCGCATATTCATCTCCGGAAGCATATGCGCAAGACGAGGAGGATCTGAGGATTTGGAGAGAGATGAGCGCTCTCGTGGAACGCATGTGTTGGAGAATAGCTGCAAAAAGGAACCAGACAGTGGTTTGGCAGAAACCACTGACTAATGATTGTTACCTACAGAGAGAACCTGGGACACAGCCTCCTCTCTGTCGCTCAGACAGTGATCCTGATGCAGTTTGGGGCGTGTCCATGGAAGCTTGCATCACTCCTTACTCTGACCGTAAGTCTGGTTTTATGATAATTTTACAGTTGTTTCCCTTCAGGATCCTTGATCATCTTTCATCTCTAATCAAGTTCAGGAATGTTCTTCTTCTACGAATGAATTAATGGTACAGCCCATTTGCTTTAACCGAGTTTTTTTTTTTGTCTTCTGTTTTGCGATATGTTTAATGTTTCAGATGACCACAAAACCAAGGGAAGTGGATTAGCTCCCTGGCCAGCTAGGCTGACTTCTCCTCCTCCCCGTCTTGCTGATTTTGGTTACTCAGCCGATGCGTTTGAGAAGGATACGGTATAAGGCAGCAACATCTTCACAAACATTGGTTTCGGACACTTTGGGTGGTTCTTCCACCATAATAGACGATGTGAAACATATTTGCCTGACCTGAGGGGTCCGTCCATATCTTGTTTTGTGTTTGCAGGAACTTTGGCGGCAAAGGGTGGATGGCTACTGGGATCTCTTGTCTCCGAAAATCAAATCAGACACATTGAGGAACATAATGGACATGAAAGCTCACATGGGTTCTTTTGCCGCTTCTCTGAAGGATAAGGATGTTTGGGTGATGAACGTCGTCCCTCAGGACGGACCTAACACACTTAAACTGATCTATGACCGCGGCCTGATAGGCACAACCCATGACTGGTACGGCTCTAGATTTCATTTTGGACAACTGGGTCTTGTAGATTAAGTTTTGGCCGACTGTTCTCAAGGCTACATAGCTTCTGGTTTCTGATAACGAGAACCAATAATAGTAGTCACATTCATTCTACACTGATCATTTCACGACAGTAGGGTTATGATCGAAACTGCATTTCCTTTTCCCATGTAGGTGTGAAGCGTTTTCGACCTATCCCCGAACTTACGACCTTCTACACGCGTGGACCGTGTTATCTGACGCCGAGAGAAAAGGGTGCAGCATAGAGGATTTGCTCCTGGAGATGGATCGGATTCTGAGACCAAGCGGCTTCATCATCATCCGAGACAAACAGCGCACGATGGATTCTGTCAAGAAGTACCTGAAGGCTCTGCATTGGGACGTAGTGGCTTCGGACACGGCAGCAAGTTCAGGTCCCGACCAAGACAGCGGCAATGTCGTCTTCATCGTCCAGAAGAAAATGTGGCTCACCTCTGCAAGCCTCCGACTCACCGACTGAAATATACGTAATAGACTTCGAAGATTTCGTTTCTGGGTAGTTATTTGTTCCGTTTACTCATGAAAACCGTAAGCGTGATCCATATCCTCGATTTCATCATTGTATCCTTAGCCTTTTTGTCTGAATATTTAAATCGAAGTTCCTTAAAGCTCTCTCTCTCCCTCTTGTACAAAATGCATGGGGCGTGGCATGATTGATACGTTTGACAAAGAGGAAAGATATGATTCAGATGGCACTCAAATGATGAATGTTAACCAGAAAAAGATCACTCAGGTGGATACCCAAATGATTAATTCTCGAGAGCATTAATAAAGACTAAAACTTTGGTTCGATTTCGATTTGGTTTGCCTTGGAACCGGACTAACCGCTGTAATTGGAACCGGTTTACGATAACCGGATTCCAATTTGGTAAGCGACAAAGACCCGCTCGGTTTTTTGGATTGGACTAGTTGTAAAATTGATTTATTCATCTGTGCACATACTAAAGTTTATGTAAAATAATTTTTGCTAGGTAACCGTAAATTAGATGCTACACGACATCCAAAAATAATAATTATATAATAATAACAAAAATTGCAGTAGCAGCAAAATTATGATTGTTTTTTTTCCTAATATGATGGCGATGATGATAATGTTTTTAAAATAATGAAAAAATATAATAAAATGGGTACGGGGTTGATGTCTTATATATTATATATATACAGAACAATTATAATGCTAAGCAAAGCAATTAGGGATAAGAGAAAAAGAAGAGAAAAAAATCACGAGGCCGTCGGATTTCCTTCCGTGTTGTTTTCTACCCTAGAAAATCTCCAAACATTTTCCTGGAAAATACCGAATCAAACTCTGTCCCTAGCAGTCTATAGATCAGACGATACAACCAAGTCCTGGGACCTTTTCCCCACGTCTCCCCCGCTGATATCGTCGCTCCTTGTTCTTTCCGCGTTTTTTTGTCCTTTTTTTTGTTTTCTTCTGGTTTTTCGTGCAGACCCTCCTTTTTTTGTTCCTTCTGATCTGAATCCTTGTAGAAAGTAGTCAGAGTTGGATGACGACGATGGTTGTGGTGGTCAATGGGTAATCTCGGCTTGGGTGTATCAGGATTCAGAAGCTAAGCTCTGGACTTGAGATTTGGTCTTTTAGGTTCTCTAGCCGCATCAATTTGGAGTGCTTGGGTCGTTTAGCCACTCAATTTGGGTCAAACACTTTGATCGATTCAGCGATTGGAGACGATCGAAAGTGCGGTTGTTTGGATTTGGTCTCGTATCGCTCTGATACTCGGTATTGTGGTTCTTAGTCGATTTCCTGGTTCTTCTTTTACCTCGATAGGAATCTGGTCTAGGTATTATCAATTGGATTGGATTTTAGCCCCGCAAAGAACTTAGTTGGGATCTGAGTTTTGTAATTTGAGTTCGTAGCAGAGCTCATTTGGTGGCATTAGTATCTTAACTATCGCAAGTTTCCTTGGTTAAATCGGTGTGGTTGAAGTTTTGACCACAGAAGATTGAATAAACAGTGAGACCAACTGGGTTCGAAGTTCGTAGAAGACAGACGGGAAATTTCTATCTGAATTGTATCTAAATCTTCAATTGAAGATAGAAAATGGATCGTGTGGTTGCTGGCAAGTATAAACTGGGACGAAAGCTCGGCAGTGGTTCATTTGGTGAACTTTTTCTCGGTATGTTGAATTTCCTCTGGGTTTTCTTGCTGAATTTGTTTTCACGTCCGTTTTCTTTTGTCCTTTTGGTGTTAACTTGCTTATCTAACTGGTGCTGTTGGTTTTGTTTCAGGAGTGAATGTGCAAACTGGAGAAGAAGTGGCCGTAAAGATGGTAATCTGCAATGTCGACTCTGTTTATCGTTGAACTCTGTGTTGTAGTTTGCATCGAAATCATTATCATGACAGATTTATACCTCAAAATCATGTTGGCCACATTTGTATTGAGATTTCTTATGCTAGTGGAGAGTCCATTCCTTCCATTTGCTTCTCTACTTGGTTATAACAGTGTTTACCTAGTGCTGAACGGGTCAGAAGCTTTTTGATATCAGATCAGATGATGTTGGTTAATATTGATTCTCTATGGGTTTTTCGGTTGATATGTCTCTATGCCACATAAATTTTTTTTAAGGCTTTGTATAGCCTCTGATCTACATCAGGTGTTTCCCTTCTCCCTTGTACCTTTGGTAGCTGTCCTCCTTTCGTTATGCTTTCTACTGAACTGTTGACCATTTCGTTGTGAAGATTCTGTCTGGAGTTTTTGCTTTACTGATAGTCATCGTTCTAGGTTTCTTCCCTGTTTTGTGTCTCAATCCGTTTATGTTAATCTTTTGCTTATTCTTGCAGGAACCTGTGAGGGCTCGACATCCTCAACTTCAGTATGAGTCAAAGCTCTATATGCTTCTCCAAGGAGGAAGTAAGTTCTATCCTCAGTGTCCATTCTGTGGGGAATCATGAACATAGGATTTTCTTTTATTGATTGTTTATGCTCTTTGTTTTCTTGAAGCTGGTATTCCTCACCTTAAGTGGTTTGGAGTTGAGGGCGAGTACAACTGTATGGTGATTGATCTTCTCGGTCTGAGTTTGGAGGATTTATTCAGCTACTGCAATCGGAAGTTCTCTCTAAAGACAGTTCTAATGCTCGCAGATCAGATGGTAAATATTTATTTTTCTTTTGGATTTTCATGTTTCACGCATATCCGTATTTCATTTTCATCATAATTTAATTTTCCGTGTTCTTTTCTCTAGATTAACAGGGTTGAGTATATGCATGCCCGAGGCTTTCTTCATCGTGATATTAAGCCAGATAACTTTTTAATGGGTCTTGGACGCAAAGCAAACCAGGTACTTTTGGACGCTAAATTGAGCAAAACGATGATAATATGTCAAATTTTTGTCTAATGATAATATTTATTTGGTTGTAGCACTTTCTTAGGGAGTGCTTTTGCTACTAGTCTTTAAGAGCTAAGCAAAGTCTCATCGAAATGATATATTCACATATTTTCCTTGATGCATCCTTTCTTTGTTGCAGGTATATGTTATTGACTATGGTCTGGCAAAAAAGTATAGGGATCTTCAAACACACAGGCATATTCCATACAGGTACGAGAACTTATTCCTTCTAATAATTTTACTACACTTATGTTTTTTGCTTCATGATGTAGAAAAATTTTAGCTTGTTTTAATCTGGATATCCTGTTTTCTATGTTCTAATACTATGAACGGCTATTAGCTGGTTAAATGATTTCTGTAGAGATTTTTTTTAATTCACTTCACTTAGATTCTTAAAAGACTTTCACTTTGCTAATCATGGCCCTCATTTCTTAGGGAAAACAAGAATCTTACAGGAACAGCTCGATATGCAAGTGTTAATACTCATCTTGGAATTGGTCAGTATGTTCTTGCATCTCGTAATTCCAGAAGATTCCTCTTTCGTATTTCCAATATATTGTGTGAACTCGACATTATTGATTTCCTAATCATGCGATGTGATGGAAACACTTTACAGAACAAAGTAGACGGGATGATCTGGAATCTCTTGGCTATGTGCTTATGTATTTTCTGAGAGGAAGGTAATGGAGATATTTGTTTTCTTTGGTACTTCTTCATGCTTTTTCTAACCTCATTTCGTGATAGTTATCCTCTCTCAATTTTTGTGTCAGCCTTCCTTGGCAAGGCCTTCGTGCTGGTACCAAAAAGCAGAAGTATGACAAGATTAGCGAGAAGAAAAGGCTTACGCCTATAGAGGTATTGTTTCCCTCTCCAATACAAGCTAACAAAAAATTAGCTGTTATCTTTTAGCTAGCAGAAGAATTCTTTACTTAACAAACTCCATAGCTATCGCCCTCGTATTGGCGAATGGGATTTAAAATGTTTTCGATTAAAAAATGTACGGTCCGTTCGAAGTTTAAGATGTTTTTAGCTTGAAAAAGCTTTCTGTGCTTCATGGAAGGCTTGTCTTTTTCCCCGTTCCTGTTGGTACTTGACTTGACTGTGACTGCGAATTTATAGATACAGCGTCAAATTTCTTCCGTTTGCAGGTTCTTTGTAAATCGTATCCCTCTGAGTTCTCATCGTATTTTCACTATGTACGATCGGTGCGATTTGAAGACAAGCCTGATTACCCATACCTGAAGAGGCTTTTCAGGGACTTATTCATCCGAGAAGGTGGAAAAATTACTCTAGATTTGCTCATCCGTTAATGCATATCTCTCCTCAACAAGATCTCAAAGAGTGGGTATTGATTTTGAACAAACAGGTTATCAATTTGACTATGTATTTGATTGGACACTCTTGAAGTATCCACAGTTGAGCTCCAGTTCCAACCCAAGAGTGAGTGAATCTATTCCGAGTAACTTTCATATGATGTTAAATTTTGAGCATACTATCCTTCTGACGTATTCCTCTTTGTTCCAACAGCCAAGCCTGAGACCGGCTCTAAAGCCTCCATTGCTATCTGCAGACAGAACTGAACGGCCTTCGGGTAACACCCCACTCCTCGTTCTTCGGTTATCCTGTCGGAATCCACATATCTTCCTACAAATAACAGACTTTTCGGGAAATTTAATTAGTTGGGCAGGACAATCGAGAGAAATTTACTGGTGCTCTAGAGGCATATGCTAGAAGGAACGGCTCTGCAAGTGGTGTTCAAGTTGATCGTTCAAGACCAAGAACCTCGGAGAACATACTTGCTTCCAAAGACATGGTTAGTGTTTAATCATCTATGCATTGTACTGTAATAACACTTCCAATATTTGGTGTTCCAATACGGTTTTAACTTTTTTTTTTATTTTTGGCCGTCAGCAAAACTACGAGAGCAGACCCGTCTCTTCATCAAGAAACATGAGTTCTTCAAGAAAAGCTGTTGTGTCCAGCACCAGAGCCACCTCCTCGGCTGACTTCTCAGAGAACCACCACCGCTCGAGCCGGCTCGATGGACGCTTGCCCTCGACCCGAAGAACCCAGCTTGGGCCTGACCCCACCAAGCCCTCTTCGTCTTCTTCCTTCACCAGGGCTGCTCCTTCGGCTAGGACCGCGCGTGACGTCACGCTCCAGAGCCTTGAGCTCCTTACCATTGGCAATGACAAGAGGAAGTGATCCAAACAACTTCTAAGGGTCGGTTCTTGTTCTAAAAGAAAAAAGACATTTATGGATTTAGCCTCTTTTAGGGCCAAAAAAAAAATATTGGTCCTATATTTGAAAACATGATTTGATTAAAGAAAAGTTGGAATTAGATTGATTTTTGTGTTTTTATCTTTTGAAATATTTACCTAACAACTATCCATCTTCTAGATATCATGACTACAGCAAAAAAAATTATCATTGCTTAAAACCATTTGTAATTGTCATTAACTGTAACATGCAGATATAGAAGAAAATATTTCGTATGGATTTGTAATACCATGTTCATATTTATGGATAAGCAAGTAATAAAGACATTTAATTTTGTCTGAATCTAGTTAAGATAAATATGCCCAAATTAGCCATTAATGGCCCGCAATAATACGATCGTGGTTTTACTCGGACCAGAAAACGACAGAAAGCGATCAATGTAATCATAAAATGGAATCTGGCCGCCAAAGGAAAAGAAGTTGGAAAAAGGGCATAGATGGGATGATAGCATGGAATCTCCATGAGTAAAATCATTTTCGATATTGGTTACCAAACAACATAAACACAGAGTTATCAGCAAGAATTAATAAAGCAAGAAATCAGTATTACCAATTAAATTAGAAGCAAAGAGGTGTAAATTCCCTTTTGTTGTTTACAGAAAATAATTAATAAATTCTCATTAAAGTTCCATCAATTTCCTTTACTAGAATCTAAATATTTAAAGTTATTAATTATTTCCTTTGTCATATTAGATTCTTTATTTAATTAATAGCCCACAGAAACCTCCCTTTAATGCCCATTTCCCAAATATGACCTCGTTCATCATCACAATTGTAATTAGCATTGAATAATTATATATTGTGTGAAAAAAGTACATCTTTCATTATAGAAATAAAAAAAGAAAACGCTGTAAATTTACACGACAAAAACACATTCATGCATGCATGTGTGTGTGTGTGTATATATATATATATATATATATATATAACTCTCTCCCAGATAACTCCTAAAATCATCATTACCAAAAACAAAACACATTAACATGGAAACAGAATTTCCCATAAATTTCCTAATTCACACAGATACACAAGGACGTACACCTATATATATATATATACACGCATGTGTATATGTGTCCATATATCTTCTCACAATATATCTCTCTTACTCTTTTATCTTTTGCACTTTGAGAAATCATGGCTGGCGTTGGATTCGGCATGAATCAGACAAACAACAACAACGTGATGACGCAGATCTCAAAACCTCAGAGAATCGCTTGTCGGATTTGCGAACAGATCTTCCCAACTCCACAAACCCTAATCTCCCACATCGAGACTTGTCACATGAAAAACGACTTCTCACCACAGACGACGACCACCGCAACGACCCTTTCTTCTTTCGCCGGAAAACCGCTTTCCCTAACCCTAACCCTCGTCTCCTCCGCCATCTCCGGCGGCGCCAAAACCCCGTCGCCCTCCCCCTCCCCCTCCTCCGCCGCTCGCAGCTATGCAAACCCTTTTCTTTATAATCACTTCCCGGCTCGTAATCATGTCGATTTGAATTACTATCGCAATTATTATAATTCTGGGAGGCTCCGACATGGGTTTCCGCCGACGGCGACCATGCGCAACAACAAGTTCGTGTTCGGACAGCCTCCCCCGCCGCCGCAGATGCAGTTTTTTCAGGCGACGTCGCCGCCGTCCGGTGACCGTACACTCCCTCTTCTATGTCAGCTGGAGCATCGTTCGCCGGATATTTATGTTCCGATCATAGTCGACGATGATTCAGGTCCCAACCTCATTGATCTGACGTTGAAGCTGTAGAGATATCGATCATGTGCTCTCGTTTATAAGAAAAAGCGAGATCGATCCTTAACAAAAAAACAAAAAAAATGCGAGATCGATCGACGACGGATAGAATTAGGGTTCGAGAAATGTTCCTCCATTTCTCGAGGGTTTACCTCCAAAATTAAACTCCAATTTGTTTCATCAATTTCCTATTTTTTTCCTCTGAATCCGATTTCATTTTATTGTTTTTCCTAGTCCCGTTCATTGTGTGTATATATATGTGTGTATATATACACACATATTATATATATATATATATATATATATATATATATATACAACGTGTGTGTTTGGCCTGTATCAAACATTCAAACTCAAAACACACATAGCATATTAGCATATATTATTCTTTATCGAATTTCGATTCGACGTTGTTTCAGTCTCCACTCATAAATTATACAAAAATATACCATTAGTTATTTTTTTAGTATATAGCGGATTTTAAAAAAAAAAAATTATTATCGGTTACCAAAGAAACGGTTCAAAAAATAATACAATATAGTAATTTGGATATATTGATGATACAAACACAATTAATAAAAAGTTCAATTAATTAATTTAAATAGCTGTGATTAGTTTTAATGACACATAACTCCAATTCTGCTATCCTAGATCTGTATATTAGTATATAGATACAGCACAAGCTTATGCTTTTGATAATTGCAACGTAACATTAAAGCGAATTCAATGAATTAACTGATAAAATAATGAACTGATTATTCATTTCATTTTTCTCTAGAATAATTTTGTTAATAAGTTAATAAAAAAATATAGAAAAAAAAACATAAAATTATGGACTGACGGCCCGACGGGCTTCAAAATGGGACCGACATGGCTATATAGATGTGCGATTTGGATAATGCGATCAGGGAATCATTGTCTTCCTTTGGTAAAATAAAATAAAATAAAATAAAATATTATTCATCATTTATACGGGGCACACGTCCACTTGTTTATGAGATTTGAAATAAATTGTTAATTTTGTATATTAAAATTAGTGGATCATTAAGCATATAATATTGAATATTGTTATATTATAGTAGACAGTTTATTTACTATGGAGTTACTTGATGATTATCATTTATTTTATTTTCCTCTGCGATTAAAATAGTCAACACGACCGTTGAAGGGTTGAGGGCATTTAGGTAAATTCGTACGGGAGACATGAAAGTCATTATCCAGGCCGCTGCCAAACGCTTTGCGTTCGTACCAGTCATCAGCTTTCGGATTTCCGATTATGTCCCTACATTACCTCCGGTTTTACCTTTTCCTGTCCCCACAATTTTCTCGGAAAAAATTCATAGTTTTTCTCACCATCTTTTACTTCCCTAGCTGGTATCCAAAGCATAAAGCAACACACCACAACACCACCAGCTTCTCTCTCTCTCTCTCTCTCTCTCTCTCTCACACACGGCCCTTCGTCTCCATTATTTGTTGGGTTCGCTTCAAGTTGTTTTCTTCTTCCGCTCGATTCCAGATATATTTTTTTTTAATTTGAAGTTGTTCTTTTTTTCCCCTGGGTTCTCCGGATGATATGCTTGATCTGAAAGTCTGAATCGCGGGTATTGGATAACAAGCGATGAAATCCTCGACTCGGCTTGACTCAGCTGTCTTTCAGCTTACTCCCACTCGGACCCGGTATGAAAAATTCCGTCCTTAATTAGAAAGTCTCTTCCGGTGAACTTAAATCTCTGTTTGTAGTTGGCTGTCTCAGAAATTTGGTGTTTAGTTAGTGTAATTGGAATACACAGTCACAATTTCATCGGGGCTTGTTGTAATTGATGAAAAGATGTTTAGTTCTCAAGTCCGAATCTCTGTAGAAACTGAGAAGTGGCAAACTTTTGGGATTATTTTCTCGCATTTGTCATATTATGCTGGGATTAAGATTCGTGTTTGTGGTCGGTCAGGTGTGATTTATTGGTAACTGCCAATGGGAAGACGGAGAAGATAGCATCAGGTCTGGTTAAACCCTTTCTTGCCCACTTGAAGACCGCACAGGATCAAGTCGATAAAGGTGGCTATTCAATCATTCTTAAGCCCGAGGCTGGGGATGATGCGACATGGTTCACAAAGCGAACGATAGCAAGGTTTCTTTATGTTTCTTCTTCTTGGATGTGTTTCCATAGATGCCATTTTCTACTGTCTACATGAATTTTCACCTGATAAGTCAGTGTTTTCTGGGTACTTTGTACGACCCATAGTGAGAGATACATGGTCAGAGCATATTAGAATCTCAAAAAGTTTCAATTTTTTTAGGCATTGATGGACTTTTTCTCTGATTTCAAGCCATGTTAAGTGTTCTTACCTTTCTGAAGCCCGAGTATCTGACCAAATGATTTCAAATTTGTGTGGACAAAGCTGTGCTTAAACAGTTGGCAAGTCTCATGATAAATGTTCTGTCTGTTTGCTAAGTGAATTTGTTTCTCAATCACATGTCTTCATGAAATTGGACTTTCTTTACATGGGAATTTTCAGCCAAGCTTGGAGCTATGCTTTTTTATTTTACACCAGAATGGCAACTGAGAATCTGTCTTCTTGGTTCCTCCAGATTTGTTCGTTTTGTGAGCACTCCAGAGGTTCTGGAACGTGTTTACACCATAGAGACTGAGATTGTACAGATCAAGGAAGCCATAGGAATTCAGAACAACAGTGATATGGCATTGACTGTTGTAAGTGCCCCTGGAGTACATGTACTTAATTTACTGTATCATCAAATATGAACTCCTGTTGTGTTGGATAACAGGTGGAAGATAAGCTGCAAGTAAAAAAGGCAGAAAGTATGGAAGGTACTGCTTACCTTCCCTTCGACTATATTGCTTAAGACATATTAAAAACACATACAGAGCAGATTTATGGTTTCCTGTCTATGCATTTCCATGGCATTCATTCATGCATTCTGGATTTCTCATTTGCTCTTCATGGTAACACTGTTTCTTCAATGCCCAATTACAGTGACAGATACTAAACATATTCCTATTCCAGGGCATAAAAATGGGAGCTTTTCATTGTGGTAACTCTTGATCTGTCCATTTAATAAATACTTGATTGTATGGAGCAGGTAGCAGGCCTTTGCTAGAGTCAAGTGAGGAGAAAGCAATCGTCCTTTACCAGGTAACTGAGCATGAAATGGTTTTCATCTCATTTGGCCTCCTTGAAAGAGTGATTAAATTTCATTTCCTCGCATGTTTGACAGCCTGGTTCACACCCTCAGCAAGCAAATGGGTCCACAGTACCAGAGGAAAATTCTAAGTATGCTTTATTTCTCTTTGTAGCTTCTCATTGTTGGCTGAAGAAAATCAATGAGCTGGCAGGATAATGTTAAAGCAAAGAACATGAACTTCTGTGAAAGTAGAATTTATTGTGTCGTAAAGTTTCTCCAGTTTTAAGCATTCCGTACAGCATTCTGAAGAATTGGCTTATGTGCTGTCTTTGATATCCATGTACTAGGGCTCAAGTTCTGAAAGTCCTGAAGACACGAAAGAAGGTGTTGCAGAACGAACAAGGCATGGCCTTTGCATGTGCTGTTGCAGCAGGTTTTGACATTGATGATATGGCGCCTCTATTATCTTTTGCCAAAAACTTTGGAGCCTCACGTTTAATGTATGTATGTTTATTTGTCCATTTCCTTGATTCTTTCCACTTATTCCTGCAAATTCTCTAGGACTTAGAATCAATTGTCACTTTAAAAAATCTTTACCAGAGAGGTTTGCATGAAATTAGATATCCACTGACGTTTACTATCAATGCTAAAGGGATGCTTGCGTGAAGTTCATGGAATTGTGGAAAAAGAAGCATGAGACTGGCCAGTGGGTTGACATTGCAGCTACAGAAGCAATGTATGTACAACCAGATGTCTCTGCAGTGAATGACTCAGAGATTGTGCTTGCAAATACTGCTATTACACGCAGGGACTCATTGCCTGACACTCCTGAGAATAATGGTAAGTTGCATTATGGTGTGCCCTGTAGTTTTGACCACGTTGTTTGTGCATGCTATAAATGAACTTCATGGGCAATGCAATCGCATCCATTTAAAACTGTTGAGAAATTACGCAAGTAAAGAAACTCTCTGGTTCTTGGAAACCACTGATTTGTCATATGGAACCAGATTTAGTCTTTCACATCACACAGAAATATTTTCAGGCAAGGAATCATCTTCAAGGAATATTTATTTCCAGGCATTCAGCCATGTTTGCTTTTGTTTACACATCTGTTCTTGTCTAAGATAGAGCTTCCAATTGGGCATAAGTTGGTGGTCTTGGAAAAATCCTGTCAAAAATAAAAATTGATGGATGTTTTAATTGTATACCTCTCTTGCGTGGTGTGATGTTACTTTTCGAGTATTTACTTAATGCGTCTGTCTTTATGATTATTTGTATATTCAGATGGGAAGTCTCCTGCAGATAACAAACCAAATGGCCATCAAGAATATTTGCAAGGCCAGCTTCCACAGCCGATGTATTCACCCTGGCCTGTTCAGTCCCCACCAGGTGCTTTTCCTGTTTTTCAAGGATATCCTATGCAAGGCATGCCATACTACCCAAGTTATCCTGGAAGTAGCCCATATCCATCACCTTATCCGTCTTCTGATGATCCTAGATATAGTTCTGACCGAAGAAAGGCCCGGAAACATCATTCATCTGATAGTGAGGATTCTGAATCAGAAGACTCGGACAAAGAGAAAGCAAGATCAGGTAGGAGAAGGAAATCAGGCAAGGTGGTGATTCGGAATATAAACTACATCAGTTCAAAGAAGCAGAATAATGATGCTGAAAGCCAGGATGAAGGAGCAACACGAGAGCATTTAAATGGTGAAGAAAGAGCAACAGAAGGGGCAGAGGGTGACAGTGGACACTGGCAGGCCTTTCAGACTTTCCTATTACAGGAGGCCGATAAGAATGAACATAAAATTGACCACATGATGGAAAAAGAGGTTGTGGGGAAGAGGAGGCAAAGGGCTGGCGAATATGATCCTTTGATTTATGATGAACGTGACGTAGAACAGTATCAAGAAGGGAATATAGCTGATATGCAGAATGGAAATGCAACTCGTAGAGATAAGGGATCTAGCGATGAGTCATTTATTTCAAGAAAACATGGCTCTGGAGATTCTAGAGTGTATGGGCAAATGGATGCCCAGTACATAGAGGTAGACGGTAAAAGGGTTTTGTCCCGGAGAAATGGGACTGACGACTTCATGAATTGCCGAAGACAACATGGTTTAGGGAGGTCATCTGATCTTCTTACCTTGAATGGATTTGATAATCCAAGAAATGGTTTGGATAGGTCATCTTATAACGTGGATGATGATTCTTACATTGTTCCTCTACGGTCGTCAGGACTGGATGCAACCGGAGGCAACAAGCGAAATGCTATAGACATAGGATCAGAGTTCTCATCATCCCACCCAACTGATGAAAATGAAGGGAAGCAGGGAAAATACGAGCCCCATGATCTGAGCTTGATGCCGGAACGTGGAACGGAAAAGCTGTCGACTGGATATGACCCTGCACTTGATTTTGGATCGGAAACTCGTGTCAACAAGAAAAAAGCGGCAGCAGGGGGAGCTAAGAAGTCAGCAAAAGATCCAAAATCAAGAGTTCCTACTGATACAGCAGATAAGAGGAAAGCATCAGGGCCAATACGGAAAGGAAGAACCACAAAGATGAGTCCTTTAGATGAAGCAAGAGCTCGTGCTGAGAAGCTAAGAAGTTTCAAAACCGATCTGCAGAAAATGAAAAAAGAGAAGGTATGGTTTATCACGCGCTTAGCTTTTGAATTCATCCTAGTCTCAATCATCTTGTTATAATAATAGCATTGCAAGAATCTTGAACAATCTAGCCTGCTTGTACACACTTATGTATCTGTTGTATTTCAGGAAGAGGAAGAGAGGATGCGCATCGAAGCTCTGAAGATAGCCAGGCAAAAGAGGATAGCTGCTAGGAATAACACAGTTGCAGGTGAGGCACAGTTGCCGTCACAACAGACAAGAAAGCCATTGCAAAACAAAGTTTCTTCCGGTACCCATAGAGGTTCTAAGTTTAGTGATTCGGAACCTGGATCATCATCACCTTTCCAACGTTTTCCAATAAGAACTGCTTCTTTGACTTCAACCGACTATCAGAAACTCTCCAAGAATGGTAAATTGAGTACTCGAAGCAACTCAACAGGAAATAGGCTCACCAGGTCTGTATCATCACTACCTCTGTCTAAGAAAGACAGCAAAACTGCTCCAGATATTAAGTCATCTGTTTCAAGGACAAGAAGATTGTCAGAACCCAAAATGAGAAGCAGTGGATCAAATCCTTCAGTGAGGTCTCGAGGTTCAATAACTTCCAAAAGAATGCCGAATGCTCCAGGGAGCAAGAATATATCTGCTATTGTGAACCATGATAAAACAAAAATTGCTTCTCTGCCTGAGCTGAAAATAAAAGCATTGAGCGGTCCCACTACCAGTTCGGTGAAAATGGGAAAGGTGACAGAAAATAGATCTTCAGCCGAGGTGGCACCAAGGGGGGACAAGGAGAAATCCGTGTGCCATAAAGAGAATGATGAAAGCCCAGTGATTGAGAAGACAGTGGTGATGCTTGAATGTGAGAAGTCTTCTGCCTCTGCTTTGCCAGTTTCAGCTCAAAATATAAGTTCAGATCCCGAGCATCTCAAGAAACTCGATACCCGAAAGAAGCCTGAGGCAGTCTCTGAATGGGTTGAGGGCATTTAGGTAAATTCGTACGGGAGACAGATCGG